CTGAGAGCCGGGGATGGGGGTGGGGGGGTGGCTAGGTCCCGACCCGAGGGGCAGCAGGTGGGGAGAGACTTCTCCACACCCTCTGACCTCAGTCAGAGGCTCAGTGGGCCTCTGGGAGTCACAGGGGACAGCCTGCTTCAGGGGGCATGTGGCAAAGTTCATAACTGAAAACGCACTTTTTTTCCCCACCCAGTGGGAGTTTCTTCTATAGATAGGCTTGTAGTGGGGAGCAAAGATACTAGCTTGCGGATAGTTACTGCAGTAGTAGCTTCCAGACCCTCCCACAGTTCCCACAGGGAACTGGCCAGACAAGCAGAGAGCTCTACTCACAGGAACACGCTACAGCAGCGGAGACAGACTTACGCAGCCTCAGCTGTGCTCAAAGCTACCTAAAGGCATGGAATGACCTTGACCTTCTAAATGCACCGAGTAGAAATAAGGGACAGAATGAAGTTGAAGGAGGTTACTGTTTGTGCAAATGCAAAAGCAAATATATGGTTGTACCTGAAGGGCCCATTCTGGGACGGACTGACCACAAGTTCCAGGCACGCAGTGCTGGGTCCGTCCCCATCCGGGCTCTGTCCATCTTGCTGTGTGAAGACAGTCAGCATGATGGTGAAGGAGAGAAACACGGACAGAGGCCTGACACCTCTGCACTGCAGGGCTGCCTGTAAAGCTACAGTAAACTGCATGGTGTGTTGACCAAAAACCCAGACGGATCAATAGAACAGAATAAAGGGCCCAGAAATAGACCGGTACCCACAGAGTCAGCTGACCTTTGACAGAGGGCCGAAGGCAGTGAGACAGAGCAAAGATAGTCCTTTGCAACAAATGATGCTGGAAAAACAACACCCATGTAAAAAAAAAAAAAAGCTAGACACAGTTCTTACACTTCCATAAAAACTAATAAAATGGATTATAGACCTAAAATGTAAAACATGAAAACTATGAAACTGCTAGGAAATAACACAGGAGAAAACCTAAATTTTCTTGAGTACAGAGACGATTCTTTAGACACGACACCAAGGGTACAATCCATGAGAGAAAGACTCGATGAGCTGGACCTCATTGAAATGAAAAACTTCTGCTCCGTTAAACGACACTGTCGGGAGAATGCGAGGACGAGCCCCAGGCTGGGAGGAAATATCTGCAAAAGATCCATCTGAAACAAGGACTGTCAGCCGAAATGTGCAAAGAACTCTTAAAACTCAATAATTAAAAATAAAAAATAAAAATTGTTTTTAAAAGAGGCAAAAGACCTAAACAGACACCTCAACAAAGAAAACAGACACACGACAGATAAGCCTATGACAAGCGGCTCAACCTCACATGTCCCCACACGTCATTAAACCAGCAATGAGATGCCACCATGTGCCCAACAGAATGGCCGCCGAGGACGTGGGGCAGCAGGAAGCCCCCGTCATCACTGGCAGGGAGTGCAGAATGGCACAGCTACTCTAGAAGACGGTTTGCATAAAACTAAGCATACTCTTCCCAGAGGATGCACCGATCATGCTCTTTGGTATTTACCTAAACGAGTTGAGACGTGTGCCCACAGAAAAACCTTGCCATGGATATTTGTATAGCAGCAGCTTTACTCATAATCGCCAAAACCTGGGAGCAACCAAGATGCCCTTCGGTGGATGGATAAATAAACCGCGGTCCATCCAGACGATGGCATATTACTCAGTGCTAAAGAGACGCGGAAGAACCTCAGGTGCTCATCTGCCAAGTGAAAGGAGCCAGCCTGAAAAGGCTGCATACGATGGAGACAGTAAAACCATCAGTGGTGACGGTGGGCTGGGAGGCGGGGGGATGAATAGGCGGAGCACAGAGGACTTTTTGGGTAGTGAAGCCACTCTGTATGATACTGCAGTGGGGGATGCACATCACTACACATTGTCAAAACCATAGACCACCCGACACCAAGACTGAACACGAATGTACACTATGGGCTTGGAGTCATAATGAGGGGTCAATGTGACTTAATTGACTGTAACAAGTGTCCCAGTCTGGTGCAGGAAGTTGATAGTGGGGAAGGCTCTGTATGTGTGTGGCAGGGAGCAGAAAGTACGTGAAAAATCTCTGTGCTTTCCGCTCATTCTTGCTGCGAACCTAAAACTGCTCTAAAGAAGTCTATTAAAATGGTTAAAACGTTAAGTTTTAACTGCAATGGGAAAAAGAAGAATGCTCACACCAGCTGCATTCAGGACGTCTCCAAACCAGAAACAATGCACCTGCCCATCAACAGTCAATTGGCTCAATGAATGGGGGGAAATGGGCAGTCCCGTAGAATACTACGCAGCCATGAAAAAGAACCGCCGGCTGCTACACACACCACAGGTGAATCTCAAGAACATAACGTTGAGTGAAAGGAGCAGTATGCGAAATAATGATACAATGAGATATGATTTTTATTTGTAGCAAATTCAAGCACAGATCTTTGCTCTTGAAACCCTTGGGAGATGGGTAGTGACTAAGATGAGGGGACATAAGGGGAGACTTTCTGTGAAGCTGGAATGTTCTGCTTTGGATTTTGGTGTCCAGTTTATGAAAATTCACCAAACGGCACACTTGTGATTTGTACCCTTTTTATATAGGGGCTCCACATTCATTAAAATAAAAGTGCTACACACATGTACAAACACACACATATGCATATGCACACACACCACTCTGGCACCACACAAAATGGGTGCTGTAATTCTCACTAGGTTTACAACCCTAGCCAGGTCCCCCCTGCATTTCACGGAGCCTCAGTTTCCTCATCTCTAAAATGGAGATAGTAGAAATGCATCATGTAGTTAATGAAAGTACATTATTGCTGCTGCAAAGTCACACTGATTTGGTGCTTACTGTTAATAGTACTCTTGCTGCTGTACTCTTTGGTGACTGAGCCCAGGCTGGGGTGGGGTGGGGGCGGGGACACTGAAGAGGACAGGGGCCACGGGGAGAGCCAGTCTAAGCTGACAAGCAGAACAGGCTCATCTTGCAAAGGGCTGTGAGAGGGAGAAACCTGACCGAGTGGGGGAGGCTGGGGCAGCGGCTGGGCCTGCGGGGGGGGGCAAAGGCGGTCGGCGGGGGGGGGGGGGGGACGCTGGTCATCACGCTGGGGAAATGCATCCTGTCCTGGAGAGCGGGGCCCTTTGCTATCACTGGGCAATCGAGATGCCTGTGAAACTTTACACACCTTCTCAGGCCACATGGCTCTGGGCTGGGCCCAGGGTTCCCATGGCCCAGTGACCTTGATTTGATGTTTGAGTGGGGGAGGGGCTGCACCTTCACAAACAACCCTGCAGAGTCAGGTTTGAGTTCTTTTCTGGACTCTACCCCTTACATATCGTACGACCTTGGGTCGGTCATTGGGCCTCTCTGAGCTTCGGTTTCCACCTCTATGAAATGGGGATAGTTCCTCTTAGGGTTTGCTGTGAGGATTAAACAGTTTCACTTGGCGTGGAGGGTAAAGTCCAAAATGTTACCGTGGCCTCCTATGCCGGCTGATGCCACCACAATACTACTCTGGCCCGGTTCCCTGCAGCTCGACCTCTCATAACCCTTGCTCTGCGGGCTCCACCCACCGCCCCGCCCACCGCCGATGTTAAATGACCTTATTTTCAGCTCCCTTGCCGGCAGCCCTCGCCTGCCAGGCCTTGCTGCAGCAGTCAGGGCTCAGCTGAAATGTCACTATTCCGAGGTCCGCCCTGGCCACCTGTCTAAAGAAGCCACCTCCAGGCACTGGCCATCCATCCCATCACCACCCACTTGATCTCTTAGCCCTTAGGCCTCTGGGAAAATAACCTCATCCCGTAATTGTTTCCTTGCTCCTGTCTCCCCTCAATGGACTGAGGCATTCAGAAGGGCAGGGACCTTGTCTGTCACTCAAAACACACCTCCGCGTGCACATTCAGGAAGGTATGACAACCCAGCCAGTGTGAAAACCACGCAGGCTGTTGGTGTAGGCTTTGCCTAGAGAGCAGGGGCCCTTTCCGCAAACCACTGGGGGTGGGACACCAGCAGGGACACCATGCGGGCTGGAGCCCTGGAGCCCAAACGTGCTGACGGAGACCGCTGGGGAGGACGACCGGGCACCGCGTCCCAGAGGGTGAACGTCTCCCATCTCCCTTCAGGGCCCGGGGGCTTCGGTGACAGCAACGGGTGGGCCTTGCAGCTCAGGCTGCCACACAGAAGAAAGGAGTAGGGTTGTGAGCGTGAGCAGGTGTGTGCGGGATGTGAGTGTACTGAGTAGGTGTGAGGGTGTGCATGAGTGTCCAAATCTGTAGGTGGAATATGTGAGGGTGTGTGCTGTGAGGGGTCTCCCCGAGGTTGGGACACACGCTCTACAAGAAATATCACTCGTCTGCTTGTGCGGAATGTAGCTGCGGGCAGACCACGCCCTGTTACTCCCCCCCCACACACCTGAAAACTTCAGGAGAGTCTCCGGAAGTCACGCCGCTCGGAGCATTTTCGTGAGACACTGGGGCAACCCGCGGAGAAACGTGAGACTGTGGGAGAGGGGACGCAGGGATCCGGGAAAAATTCCAAACCCAAGCTCAGACGCACAGAACTGGATGGTTCGCAGCATTTGGGGGAAACGAGATAGAACCCCAGAGCGCCTTTAACTGTCCTTGTGCGGTCGGCTGGTTCTGCAAAAGTTCCGAGCAGAAAAAGGAGACAGCCAAAGGTATTGGGTTACGAGTCCCTGCCTCTCCTCGTCCTGTGAAGATGTGACTCAGTTCACCTACCTGGAAAGTGGAGCGAATAAGCCCCACCTCGTGGATGGGGACACTGTAAGGCGAAACGAGCAGCCACCTCCCCAACACCTCCACTCCCAGCCCGGATCATCTTTTTGCACCTCAGGCTGTTTATCTGGGCCGTAGTCTTCGTTCTTTTCTGCGCTTGGGAATTTAGAATGGACCCTCAGCTGCTGGAGTCACACCCCCTTGGAGGGCGTACCCGGAAGTGCTCCAACGGAAGCTGGCGGGGCCGCGCGCCTCTTCACCATGGCGACGGCCGGTGCCTCGAAGCGCTTCTGTCGCTGCGCCTGCTTCTGCTCGGAGAACTTGTACTTGGCGCGCTACCGGCTGCACGTGCGTTTCCGGAGTGAGGAGCAGCTGCGCCGGGACTACGGCCCGGTAAATGGCCTCTATCTGCCCTGCAGAGAATAGGGCGGGAAGGTTGGCGGAGGAGGGACCTTTGTCCACAGTTCCTTTGCTTCGCCCGCGTGCTCAGTTCTGATAACAAGAATGGCTCCGCCTCTCGGCGCCTCCTAAACGGGGGATGACAACACCTCCTTCGTGAAGCTGTCGTGAGGAATGGGTGGACTGACGTGTATGTGCAGTGCTCACGGCAGGGCTTGGCTCGATGTTGGCAGAGCAGCTGCGAGCCCTGCTCTGGGCGGAGCGCTTATCGCATTTCATTCTCACGAGGACCCTGCGAGGTCGGGGCTCTCACTTCCGTCACAGGCAGGGAAAGGGTGGCTTAGAGATAGATGTTAAGTGCTCAGAGTCACACAGTCATGCTCACTGACCTTTCTGCCCCCAGATCCTGCGCAGCCGAGGCTGCGTCAGCCCCAAGGACTTTCAGCAGCTGTTGGAAGAGGTAAACACTCCACACCCCGAAACACCCGCTACACTCCCAGCCTCGACCTCCCTTTTTAGATGTGTCAGCAGTTTGAGGGGGTCTCCCAGCCTCAGGCCTACCAGGCCCGGATCATTGAAGGGCTCCTAAACCTCTCTCCCCTTTCCTGTGTCCACTCACCGGCTGGTACTGATTGGAGGCCTGGCACTGGGAATCAGGGAAATGCTGTCTACTTCCCTTGAATGTCCTTGAGATGGAAAAATTGGACTCAAAAAGAGGGGAGTCACTTGCTCCAGGTTTCCCAGGAGCTGGGGCTGAGGTCCCACCTCCCAGGCTCCCAGCCGCCCTGCCTCTGATCCTTGGTGGCACCAGGGATGCTCCCTGTGCCCCGCTCCTCCCTCCCTAGAGGGTTAGTGGTGATGGAAGCTCCCTTGTGAGCTCTCTGCAGCTGCTGGGGATGGACTTGGCTGGGAGTCGGTCCCCTTCCCTGAGTGGCCCCAGCTGGATGAGGTGCACCTGAGGGGCCCTCATCCCAGCCTGGCTGAGGCTGGTGCACCCCAGAGTGGGCTGGGCCTCCTTTGGAAGGAGTCCCTTCAGCTAGCAGCTTGGCACCTGCAATCAACTCTGCCAGAGTCAGAAGCATGGAGAGACTTGGCTTCCGGCCTGGGCCTGCTCTGGCCTTCCTCAACCTCAGTTTCCTCATCTGTATAATGGCCTTGAGGGGATGGGAGGCCTGTCCTGGTAAGCAGGTACTGTGCCACCCCAGCTTGAGCAGGAGGTGCAGCGGCGGCGGCAGCTGGGGCAGGAGTCGGCTGCCAGGAAAGCCCTCATCGCCAGCTCCTACCACCCCTTGCGGCCTGAGATCTACAGCCCACTGCAGGTACCAGGCAGGAGCGGGTTACCAGGAGGAGGTGGCGCCCTGGCTGGGGAAGGGGGTTGCTTGCCCCACACTGGGCGTGTGTTTTGCCCCCAGGATGTGGCACTGGCCCCCGAGTTTCTGGCCGCAGCTGAGTACAGCACACTGCCAGGTGCAAACCTTGAGGGCCTGCTGCGGCAGCTGGAGACGGTGTCAGGTAAGGTCTTGGCCCTGTGACCTGGCAGGATGAGGGGGTGGGAGACTCCAAAATCCCAACCAGCAGGAGCAGGAAGGCACAGGGGCGGGGCAGCTGGATTCACTCACTCACCCAAGACACAGTTACTCAGTGAATTGATTGAGGGGATGCACGACGTGAAGGGCTTGGAGCATAGTAGGTGTACAGAGAGTGTCTCCTCGTCTATGACTTCTGCTTTCCTGGGCCTGGGGGACACTGGGGACAGATGTAAAGGCCACTGCACTCCAGGAGCCTGCACCCTGCTGAGGACCCGGGGTGGGTGGGATGTGGAATGGATGCCCCAAGGGGCAGGGTGGGGGAGGAAGGGCCTCTCATTGCCATCTACTCCCGAGTAGTTGAACTTGCCAGGAGGCTGTCTGAATGGGGCCAGGGTGCTTGGGAGTCGGCCAAATCGCCCCAGCCGCCTGGGGTGTTGGTATGTCTGCCAAGAAATGTCCCCATTTCCATTCTGAGTCAGGCCTCTCCCCGCCAGGGCCTGGCAAGAAAGAACAGCCCCTCTCAGTTTTCCTGGGGGGGAGAAACCCCGAGAAACATCTGAGTTGGGGTGCAGACTGGGGGCTCACTGGGGAGAGGGTGTGGAGAGAGCCTGAGGCCAGCTCTGTGGTCCAGGTGTGGCCTGCTGGGTGTCCCTGGGCCAACAACCCTTCCCACCTCAGGGCCTCATCAGACTCAGGTCTGGAACTAGACTTGTGGTCACTGTGGAGGCAGGATGAGAGGCTCTGGGGAGGAGGGGTGGCCCAAGAATAAACATCCCCTGCTGTGCGCGCGCACACACACACACACACACACACACACACGGAGCATCATTTAATTGCCGTAACAGCCCTGAGAGGGGGGTTCCTGAGTTCTGCCCATTGTTCTGAAGAGGAAACTGGGACTGGGGAAGTGCGGAGACCTGCCCAGGCTCACACAGCTCATGGGGGTTGAAACCCACACCAAGCTCCCAGCCGATGAGCTGCCCCTTGCTCTGCAGAGGAGAAGCGGATCTACCGGCTGCCAGTGTTCACGGCACCATTCTGCCAGGCCCTGCTGGAGGAGCTGGAGCACTTTGAGCAGTCGGACCTGCCCAAGGGGCGACCCAACACCATGAACAACTATGGGGTGGGTGAGGCTCTGCCCTGCGGGCTAAGGAGGTGGGGGCTCCAGGGTCTGGGGGACTCACCTGCAGTGCTGTGGCTCAGGGGCGTGGTCCTCCCCTTGCCTCAGTCTCTCTGTAAGATGAAATCGAGGAAGGTTCATGAAGTTAAACAAGTCAAAGGACACTCCAGGGACCCGGGGTGAGGCCCCACCAGACTCACTGCTGACCCAGGACCCTCCTCTCAGGTGCTGCTACATGAGCTGGGCCTGGATGAGCCGCTGGTGACGCCGCTGCGGGAGCGCTTCCTGCAGCCGCTGATGGCCCTGCTGTACCCTGACTGTGGCGGGGGCTACCTGGACAGCCACAGAGCCTTCGTGGTCAAGTATGCGCCAGACCAGGACCGAGAGTTGGGCTGCCACTATGATAATGCCGAGCTGACCATCAACGTGGCCCTGGGCAAGGCCTTCACCGGGGGCGCCCTATACTTTGGGGGCCTCTTCCAGGTTAGTGTGTGTGACCCGCCAGGCAGGGTCTGGATAGCCAGGAGTGCCCAGGCCTAAGCCCCGCTGTCTGCAGGCGCCTTCAGCTCTGGCCAAGCCCCTGGAAGTGGAGCACGCTGTGGGCTGGGGCATCCTGCACCGGGGTGGCCAGCTGCACGGGGCCCGGCCCCTGGGCACTGGCGAGCGATGGAACCTCGTCGTCTGGCTCCGGGCCTCTGCTGTGCGCAACCGCCTCTGCCCCATGTGCTGCCGCAAGCCCGACCTGGTGGACGACGAGGGCTTCGGGGACGGCTTCACCCGAGAGGAGCCCGCCACCGTGGATGTGTGTGCACTGACTTGAGCCTCATTGGGACTTGCGGGGGTGGGGGTAGCATGACAACAGAGGGCCCTGGGGGGGCAGAAATAAACTCCCTGCAGCCCCCTCTTGTCTTGGTATGAAAGGACAGGCAGGCTTTGGGTCACTCTTTCAGCAGGCGGGCTGGCTTTGGCGGGGTTTGTTAGAAGCAGAGCCTGAGAAGGGGATTCCAGGTCATCAAGGTAACACCCCCAGGGGAAGGGTGTCTGGGATGCAGGACAGGGCAGGAAGGAGCTGGGCCAAGACGTGGGTTCAGATGGCGTCAAAACTTAGGCTGGGCCTATGGCAGCTCTGGAGCATGAGTCCACCCCTTTGCCCTTCACACCAGTCACTAACAGCAGGCTGTGTAAGGAGAGGGCGTGTGTGTGCATGAGTGAGAGAGAGGGGGTAACTTCTCAGACATCCATCACCAGGACAAGTGGCTCCTAGTAGCCAAGGGAATCTTCCAGAGAAATGTACAGCTGTGAGCTGTCGACATCAGACATCACCACCGGGGATGAGTGCCCCCGCCTGTAAGGGGGATGCAGGTGGGTTGGCCACCAGGTGCATCTCGCATCTTGCAGATGGTGTTGGGGGGCTACTGTGGAGGGGTTAAGAGCAGGGACCCTGGAGCCAGACTGCCTGGGTTCAGATTCTGATTCTGCCACTTCCCGCTCCGTGGCTGTGGGCAAACCACTTGACCTCTGTGCCTTAGTTTCCTCATCAGGAAAGTGCTGGTGTCCTTCCGCCCTTGGGAGAGCCAGATGATGTACAGAGTTTATAAAGGGCTTTAGAACATCTGCTTGAGTTTGCTGCTGTCATTATTATTTAAGAGCCTGCAGCTTGGTGGTCCCCAGTTGGCCAGGAGTGCAGCTGTACACACTGGGAGGCACGTTTGAAAGCCCGGGATTTCCACGTTGAACCACGAGTTCTGGCTTCCACGGGAACGTCTGGAGACACCAGTCGCCATCCCCACACTGCAGACAACAGCTGGAGCGGGATCTCAGCTGCCCATTCTAAGTGGACCTGCGGTGCATCCCCTCCTGGGAGTCCTTCCCTCGTTCGCTGCCACGATCTCTCTGCCCCTTATGGGCATTTGAGTCGGTAGTGTCCGTATTACTGATTGGGGACTTTGAAAAGCCCAGGGCTTCTCAGCCCGGGAGCTCACGGCCAAATGGAGTGGACAAGGTCTGCAGACAGCCCAGGTTGGGGAGCGGCGTGAAGTAGGGTCGCCTCCGCTGGGACGTGAGGGAGACGGGGTGCTGCGGGTGCGCAGGAAGGACAATCTTGGAAGAGGGCACAGCTGCAGCAAAGGGCCTGCTAGCTCCGGGACTGGAGCCAGGCTGGACAGCACGTCTCTGGGCCAGGAGCAGCGGACGCCGGCACAAACGCGCACAGGCTGGAGGCGGAACCTGGATCTCCAGAGCTCATCTCTTAAACGGAAGTGGGTGGGCCAGACACCGTTTTCCGAGCGGCCCCAGAGACGGAACGTGCGGCTTCAGAACCAAAGGCAGCAGCGTTTGGCTTCGCAGTCGGACGGCCTATCGGAGCACCGCCCCGGGCCGGAAGTCACCTTGCAGCAGCTTTCTCACGAGAAGGCTGGGTGCGGAGTGGGACCCGGAGGGCAGTTTAAAGGGTAACAGAGCAGCTTGGGGACCTTCTTTCAGACGGAGGGTTTTGGGGTGGAGGGTAGGAAAGCGTGAAAAGGGATTCAGGACCCACCTGGAGGGCGAGAGTCACGGCGGCTCCTAGGGGCTCTTGAGTCGCGGCGGCTCCTAGGGGCTCTTGAGTCGCGGCTCCTAGGGGCTCGTGAGCCGCTTGCGCAGGCGTGGAGCGTCCCGGCGGGGGCGGGCCCTTAAAGGGGCCGCAGTGGAGGGTCTGCAAGTGCCCAGGGTTGGGGGGTGATTGAGAGTGGTGATATTATCGCGGAGTCTCTCATATCCCTGCTCCGGGGTATGGAATGGGGGTAGTGGGCCCCCGAAGACCTTGGAGTCCAGCCCTCGGGCCTGCCCTGAGAACTTGAGTTTCAGTGCGTCTCCCTGTCTCCAGTCCACGGCGCTATGGCTCATTCAGGCTCTCGCAAGCGCTCGAGGAGCCGCAGCCGGTCCCGGGGGCGAGGGTCAGAAAAGAGAAGGAAAAAGAGCAGTAAGCATACCCGGAAGAGCTGTTCGGCTTCTAGATCTCAAGGCCGCAAGACCAGCACCACCTCCTCTGGGGCAGAGGGTGAGGACCACGGGGAATGGGAACGGAGCGCTGGAACTTGGTGGGGAAGCTGCAGGCAGCTGGGCGGGCTTCCTGGGAACGGTTGTGGGAACACTGCAGTGAGCAGTAGTCAGAGGGGTGCAGAGAGTACAACGTGGATGTCTGGCTTGAGACCCAGAATCCAGGGGCTGGGCTGCCCACTCAGCATGGATCTCTTAATGGGAGTGCCTGATCGGCGGGGTTTGGCCGCCCTGCTCCTGGCCAGCCCTCGACTGCATGGAGCCCAGAAAGCGCCTCTCCAGAGAGTGCTGATCCCTGCCAGGAGGTCTCATCCCTCTGTTAGACTGGAGCTTGCACAGGCCAGAGCAAGGGGACAAAGGTTACTTCTTCCCCTCCTGACCTTCCAGCCTCACCTTCTCCCTGCATCACAGAGAGAAGCAAACACAAGGTGCAGAGGAGACCACGGTCCAGCTCCTCCTCCTCTTCTTCCAGTTCTTCTAGCTCCTCTTCCTCCTCGTCCTCCTCCTCTTCCTCTAGCGATGGGCGGAAGAAGCGGAAGCACAAGGACAAGAAGAGAAAGAAGAAGAAAAGGAAGAAGAAGCTAAAGAAGAAAGGCAAGGAGAAGATGAAGGTGCAGCAGCCTGAGACTCTGCCAGGCCCCTCGCTGGACCAGTGGCACAGATCCACTGGGGAGGAAGAGGATGGCCCAGGTACCCTGCTGCTGGGGTGCAGGATAGGGTGGGTGCGCCTGCCCCCCTGCCCCTGCCCTCACTCCCTGAGATCCATCCGCCACCTCCCTGCCATCTCTTCCAGTCCTGACAGATGAGCAGAAGTCGCGCATCCAGGCCATGAAGCCCATGACTAAGGAGGAGTGGGATGCGCGGCAGAGTGTCATACGCAAGGTGGTGGATCCCGAGACGGGGCGCACCAGGTGCGAAGTGCTTGGTGGAGCCCGGCCCCTGACGGCACTCTCGGGAGGAGGGGCTGCGGCTGCTGCTCTAAAAAGGCCAAGGGCTGGGAGAAAAGAACTCTGGTGCGACAAACAAGCAGTTTCAGGGGCTGGAAGGGCCTTTAGGAGGGTCATCAAAGAGCCACCATTGGCTGGTCTGGTGGTGGGACCTACCTGGAATCTGTACCCTGACCCAAGGCCTTGCTTGAGCCAGGGCGGGATGGGGCCTGAGGCCTGGCGCCCCTCTGCTGGGCGGATGTGATTCTGTGGCTCTAGTGTTGGAGGCTCAGCCCGTGCCCCTCCTCCCCCAGGCTCATCAAGGGAGACGGCGAGGTCTTGGAGGAAATTGTAACCAAGGAACGACACAGGGAGATCAACAAGGTGGGTGTCGCCTTTTTGCCTAGTGCCCATCCCCAGCTGTTTGTGACAGTCCCCTCTTGTGTGCTCTCTTGCCAGCAAGCCACCCGAGGGGACGGCCTGGCCTTCCAGATGCGGACGGGCCTGCTGCCCTGAGGGCCCCGCCAAGGTCTCCGGACATTGTTCATGGCCCAACAGGGAGGCAGCAGGAAGCCAGATGGGTGCCGTTTGTCTCTGGCGGACTGGCCTCTGGCTGCCTTCTCTCAGGTGCGGGGGGGGGGGGGGGGACCAGGGTGACTGTCCTAATCAGTTCTTCTGAAAGTGCACAGCTTTCCAGACATTAAACATTCCCTGGTTGGAGACTTCTGTTGCTTTTTGTGCTGAGGTGGGGAGGGCACTGCTGGACCTCCAGGGGCAGACAAGGGCTGCAGGGGTTTCTGGGGAAACTGGGGTGGGCCCCGGTGGTCACGCGCTCATCCTCAGGTCGGCCTGCCTGGAATCACCCCACCTGGCTCTTCAACCCAGCTCCCCCAGGCTCGGAGGGAGACTGCCGCCCTTACTGGGTCCCGCCCGGAGGTGACAGCAGCTGAGGGCCCAGGTGTGGGGCCAGGTGGCCCAGGAGGGAGTCCCGGCCCAGCTTACTTACTGGCTGTGTTCTCTGTAAAGCAGAGACTGGGAGCGCCCACGTCAGTCAGTGGGTATGAGGATGAGCCAAGTTCATGCTCAGGAAGGGGCTGGATGGGGCCAGCACCAGGTAAGGCTCTCCCGAGTCCGCTGGTGTTACCAGAGGTACAGTTGGACAGGCCGTGCCCCCGCCCGCTGCTCTGGTCGCTGGTGCAGTAACGAGACACAGAAGGAAGCCTTCCTGCTTCTTTAATTCGTGTGACAGACGATGACACTGTATATAGAGCACACGCAGGCCCGATGGGGCAGGGACAGCAAGGGCAGGTGGTGCGAGTCAGGACACTGTTCACACATAGCCCGGACAGATGGACAGACAGGAGGGGCCGACATGGAGAGCGACGTGGTGGGCAGGTGGGCAGGGTGTGGGGTCTCTGCTGAATCCCTCTGTAGGAAGAAGGCAGGCGGCCACGCGGGGGGCGGGGGTGGGGAACTAAGGCTTCTACTCTGACAGGTCCAGGTGGGGCGGCAGCCGGCAAGGCCCACCGCACCCTTTGGTAGTGACTGGTTAGGCCCGAGCCCTGCAGCTCAGCACCCGACGCTGTAAACATTTTTGGTCTTTTGAAAGGACTCTGCCTCCCGCTCAGGTTCTGAAACACCAGCGCTTCCTCAGGGGGAGACTGTGCCAACAGGGGTCTGAAGGGAGGCAGGAAGCAGACCTGGACGCAGCAGAGACATCAGTGGGGAGGGTGGGCCGCCGTCTCCCCGTCTATGGCTAAGGGCCGCTGGGGGGCCCAGGGGACTATTGCTGTTGTCCTTGGCATGGCTGGCGGCTGGGCAGGAGGGCGGGGGGGGCACGGAGCCGTGGGGCGGCCGCCCGCTGGGAGAGGCCGAGCCTGCTGCCCACACGCCCCCCCTGGCCAGAGAGCCTCGGCCTTTATTGCAGGCGGGCCTGAGACTCTCCCAGGTGCTCCTCTGATGGCTAGTCGTCCAGGCAGTGGGCCGGGTGGGGTGGGGGGCCGAGGGAGGCGGAGGCACTAGCCCCTGGGGGGGCCGTGATTGTTGGCCGAGCGGTTTCCCGCTGGGGAGTGGAAGGTCGGGTACTGCACTGTCACTGCAATGGTTACATTAAAACTCGGTCCGTAAAATAACCGTTGCTTTATACACAACGCCTAAAACAACAAAAAGCTACGTCTTAAATATGAATAAACCCTGAAGGTCCCATCCCTCCAGACATTTTTCTCTGCACAAAATAAATAGCTTTCACTCTGTATAGACCCACTTTTGCAGAACATTTACACGACCCTTTGGCTGTACATATCTACACACGGGGAAATGTGAGCATCCATCGGCACGCCCCCCCCCCCCTCGCCCCAGCCCACGTGGTGCCGAGGCCTTGTCCAAGGCGGCAGCAGCAGCTTCTGGCCGATGGCAGACAGGCTCCCGCCTCAAGCAGGTGGAGGAGCAGTGGAGAGGCCACCAGGAGTGGAGCAGTGCAGCCCATCGGAATCCGCTCTGGGGAGGGAGGGCGGACACGCAGACCAGCTTGGTCCTGGCCGGGTTGCACTGGGAGCCGTGGCTGCCTGCCCTTAAGCCAACAGCGGGAGCCGTGGCTTCTCAGACTCGGCATCAGAACAGAATCGGCGTTTAAAAAGCGAGTGTGTGCCCCACCCGCCCCAGAGAAGTAGTTCAGCGGAATCCACGGGCAGGGTGAGGCGGGAGCCCACAGCCCACTGCGCGGGCCGGAGGCCAGGACCCAGGACCTGGCTGGACTCGTCACAGTGCTGGGTGGTTGCCACGGGGAGGGGCTGCGCTTGGTGCTGAAAGAGTTAAGAAAAGGAAGCAGCCAAGGATTGCTCATTTTACAAAAACCTCATAGAAATCAGATCCGAGAAGTAGAAAGGTGTAGAAATGGGAGGGCTGAGGTGTGGGGCCAGGGGGGCGGCAGGCGAGGGGTGGACGAGGTGGCCAGGCCCCGTGGGCCCCGGCAGGGCTCCTCGGGAGCCGGCTCTGGTCTTCACCAGCCTCACCACCGCCTGGGCTGCTCCCAGAGCCAGAGAGGACGCCAGACCCACGGCCTCACCAAGCTGCAGGTGGGGCAGGTGGGCAGGGGGCTGGGGCTGCCACAGTGGGGCGGAGCTGCGGAAACGAGGTACGGCCTTCCTGCCTTGTTCCCACAGGGCTGCGCCGCCCCAGAGCCTCGGCGAGGAGGCGGGTCCTGGATCGGCAAAGGCCACTTTTCATGCGTGTGAACGGTCTGTGGCCGTAGGCGAGGCTACCAGGTTTCTGCTCTCAAATATCAGTGCAAAACCAGTGAGGTTGCAGAGTTGAGTAAATTGAGTTCACAAGAAGCAGGCCGTCCCCTCCTGGAGCTGCTACCAAGGGAGCAGGGGTACAGGTGTCAAGCTCGTGGCCAGGGAGGCGGCAGGCTGGGGCCAGGCCTGACATGAGGATGCTGCAAGGTCAGCGCGGGGCAGCTGTGAGGCCCTTCCACACGGGGGTTCCTGGTCCCTCTGTTGTCCCGGGGCTGGCTGGTTGTCCTGCCAGCTTCAGCGACAAGCTGGAAGCCCTCAAGACCCTTGGACGTGAGGCAGGGCCAGGAGGGCTGCCTGCGGCACAGCCAGTGTCCTCTGCTGGGCCACGGGACAAGCTTGTTCCCAGCCGATGGCGTGTGCCCAGGCCAGGCCTCCTGGTGAGCTGGCTGCCCGGCCTAGCACCATGGAGACCACCGTGCCTCACCAAGGGCGCCCTACTTGGGGCCCGCGGCTGCCCCTGGCTCAAGCCTGCCAGCCGTGGTTCGGCCCCAACAGCCAGCTGCCACGCTCATGCTGCGCTGGCCGCGCTGCTCCCCATCCGGCTGGCTCTGCGTCCGCTCGTGCCTGAGGCCGGGCCCACTGGGCTGGGCTGAGATGGTGCGGAGCAGGTGGTTCCGGGAGCGCAGGAAGTCACTCTGGCCGGGCAAGCCGAAGCTGCCCTTGCGCAGGGCCATGCGGGTGGCTGTGTTGCGGGCCGGCCGCGCCCGGTGGTTGTACTTGAGCTGGGCCAGGTGGGCCGCGTAACCGTCCGTGATGAACTGCAGGGGAGGGGCAGTGAGGAGGACGGCTGTCCCAGGCCCACCCGGCTGCCCGCCGGTGCCACCCACCCGCCAAGGCCCGCCCGCTCACCTGGCACTGCTGCTGAAGCTTCTTGGTGGGCCGGCCCACGATGTAGATCTGCATGGGGGGCAGGTTGATGGAGCTGTAGACCGCCACGTCCTTGGTGGAGCCGTATGCCGCGTGGGCGCGCAGGTGCAGCTGCAGGCAAGACCAGTGTGGGCGGAGGCACGGCCCTCCCGGCCCCGCCCTGCCCGGTGGCCCCTTCGCCCAGGACCCACCTCGGAGATGAGCAGCTTCAGGAAGTTGGCCTTGTGCCGCAGCGGGTCGTGCACCAGGCCGTCACAGAAGGACACCACGCCGTGGGGGAAGTTGTGCTGGGCCAGCCACGCCACCACCCGCTGCTTCTGCATGTCGGGCCGGCCCGTCACGTAGATGATGAGGTAGCCCAGGTCCTGCCAGTGCCTGGGGGCGAGGGGCAGGCCTCAGTGTCCCACGGCCGCCCCGCCCCCTCCTGGACCGCCCTGTCTCCCCGCCCAGCCAGCCCCCACTTGGGCCACTGAAGAGGCCGTCTCTGAGCAGGCGGCAGCAGCGGTGGGGGCCCTTGCGTAGCACCCACAGCCTAAGTCGCATGGTCCCACACACACTCCCTTGGCAGCAGGGGGCCTGCTCTTGTGAGGACCCCACTTCCCAGGTGAGGGACTGAAGCACCAACATCAAGAGGTCAAATGGGCCCTGGCTGGTGTAGCTCAGTGGACTGAGTGCCGGCCTGTGAACCAAAGGGTCTCTGGCTCGATTCCCAGTCAGGCCACGGGCCTGGGTTGTGGGCCAGGTCCCCACTAGGGGACGCCTGAGCAGGAACCACACCTTGTTTTTCTCCCTTCCCCTGTCTAAAAATAAAAATAAATTTTAAAAAAAGGTAAAATGAAGGCCACACAACTGGTAAATGGTGGTGCCAGCTCCTCAGTCCCCAAGGTTCCTACCAAATGTCCCCTACCCTGGCACCCAGGGCCACTCACCGCACCACGTCCACAGCTCCAGCCCGCACTTTGGGGTCGCTGCCCATGATGGACACGCTGGCGGCAAAGGAGCCATCGATGCTGAAGACCACGAACTCCGTGCCCTTGGGCAGCACGGTGATGTAGCTGTCGGCAAAGGTGTGGTCTCCCCTGGGCACAGGGAGCAGGCCGTCAGACCCCGCCGGAGCCCCTCCCCCACCCCGCCCCCGCCCACCTGGGGGAGGGGCGTACCTGACCACCATCTTGACGGGGTAGACGCCCACGCCCAGGCGGTGCGTCTCAGGGATGGCGTAGGAGACGCGCCCGCTGCTGTTGGTCACCAGCGTGTCCACGTACAGCCAGTCGCCGGAGGGCGGCTGCGTCATGATGTGCACGTCCACCTGGAGCCGGACAGGCTGGTCACGCTCGGCCTGTGTCCCCGGCCTCCCACCGCACGCCCCAGAGGAAGGGGAGTGCCTTCCCCGTGTCCGTACCTTCTCCCCAGTCAGGGTGACCATGTCCAGGGGCCCATACATGAACCGGCCCGTCAGGACCTGCGGGCCGTCCTCGTTGGCCACCGCGTCGTTGATCCGATGGTTGGCCGTCACATTCTGGGAAGACCAGGGGGTGAGGCTGAGTCAGGGTGGGGGATGAAGGGGTGGCCGGGGTCTCTCGGGACTCTGCTCAAGCCTCCTGTGGGCCTGTGGGGTGAGCTGGGCTTAAGGCCAGAAAGCCCATGTTTAAGTGCAGCTCATCCACTGAGCCACGTGGCCTTGGGGAAGTTCGGGAGCCTTGCTGTAGTTCCCTGTCCCTAAATGGGGTAAGAGCCCCAGTGTCATAGACTGAGGGTTAACTAGGACAGCTTGTGACCCAGTTTGCTCATCCGTAACAAGGCGCTTCCCTGAGGACTCCACAGGACGGCAGGCGCGGGCCCCAGGCACCCGGGGGACCCCTCACCCGCAGCTTCACGTGGGTTCTCTTGCGTTGCCACTTCTCTCTGGGCTTCGAGGGGGTGAACACCGAGACCTCCTTGCCGTCGAGCTCCAAGATGCTGGAACTGTCGTGCCTCATGACCTGGGGGGAGGCAGGCAAGGTCAGGCCCTGGGGCAGGCTCCAGCGGGGCCCCAGGTCTCGGAGGGAGAGGCTGGCGCTCTTGGAGATGAAACTAGGAAGCTGTGAGGGTTTGGGGGGCACTGTTCAACCCACTGCAGCCCACCCTCTGGGCCCCCCAAATTCAGATCTGTCCCATGATTGCATTCACCCTGTCTCAGCTTCCTCCACGAGTTCCTCCGTCCTGCTCACTCTTGCCCAGTGGGGTCAGAGGGCGGGGTCTGGGGAAGGGGGCCTGAAGCGGGGGCCCGCACCTGTCTCAGCAGGAAGGACACCACGTCCGTTGACTCCCAGTAGCTGGCGTGGAAGAGGTGAGGCAGGGCCACCGTGGGGAAGGCGGTCAGGGCGTCCGGGCAGTACAGGGCGTAGTCGATCCGCTTCTGGCCCCACCACTTTGCAGCAACTGCCAGGAGGAGCGGCGATGACTGGGCTGGAACCCCAGGGGGTCACCTGGCCCCTCAGGCTGGGCTCAGCCCCCAAAACAAGACCCTCCTCCAACCAGGGACAGGGGAGCAGCCAAAGCGAGAGTCCCTTTGCCAGGCGGGGTGACGGAGGCGTGCAGGCTGAGTGGAGCACCAGCGGCAGGCCAGCAGGTGAGGGTGTGGATTTGAGGGAGAGAGGAAAAGAAGGTCCGAGTGGTGGCAGGACTCGCCGTCACTGTCCCCAGACCTGTCCTTGATCTTGGTGACCCTGCCCTGGACCCCACTGCTGTCCTCTCCTGGACCCCTCTGGGCTCCTGATTTACCCCCAGGCCTCAAGGCTGTGGACCCCAAGGCAAGACCTGCCATCCCCCTCAGCACCTGGGGGCCTGGCGAGGTCGGGCAGGCCTGCCTGTGAATCTGGGTTCCCACCTGGGGCGGGGCGACCACACCAGCCAGAGAGGTGAGGCCTGTCACGTGCCCCTCCGGTGGCCACAGGCAGGAGATGCCCAGACATCTCAGTAGAGGCGGCCTCCTGCCCTCTGCCAGCAGCCCGCCTGACTCACCACCCTCAGTCTCCCCCGCCCCTCATTCCAGCCCCATGGATTCCTCCCAACTCCAGCTGCTCTCGCCTCCTCCCTGATGTCTGTGTGCGCCCAGCCCACCCTAGCTCCTGGAGAGGCCTCGGCAGGTGGGGCAGGTGAGCAGGACCTGGCAGTGAGCAGAGCCTGGAAACAGGAAGTGACCCCAGTGAGAGGAGGGGACAAGTGTGGGTGGAGGCCACGTGATGCCCGGTACCTTCTCCAACGTCCAAGTCAGGCAGGTGGGGGTTCGCCAGCCTGGCCTGGGGGCGGGGACCCGGGGTGAAGGGGGGTGGGGAGGGCAGGGCGAGCAGGGACAGGCGCCTGACGCTGGGGGTGTGGCTGAGCGCAGATGGGGCCTCTGAGAATCAAGAACAAGGGGAAGGCCTCAGTGCCTTCGGCAGGCCAGGACGGACAGACAGACGCTGGGAAGACCACCAGGCCCCTGGGCTTCCTCACAAGGGCCACCTCACCAGCCTTTTCCCAGCTCTGCAGGCAGCCTAAGAACTGGTTGTGCGGACAGGGGCACTGGGCTGGGGCTGGCGTGGGGGACTGAGAAGGGGCGACCCGGGCTCTGCCCAGCTGCAGAACACCTTCTGAGATGGGCAGGAGCCACAGAGCAAGGGCCATTGTGTCCTCTGCCCCCCGGGGTGGCAACAAGGTCTGGCGGCCACAGTGAGACCTCCCCTCTCTAATGCCCTCAGCCACCCATCCAGGCATTTGTCCAAAAACAGCCCCCCACCCTTCTCTCTTAGGGAGGACCCTGTCCCCACTCCGGGCCAAGACCAGGGCTGTTGGCTCCCAGTTTTCTGAGATGGTGGACTTTGTCCCCCTTCTTAGCGTTAGGGCCACCCCTTCTAACACTCCTTCCCTCCAGAGTCTTCTGTAGTCGCCTGGGGCTGGATCACTCTCCACTGTGGGGCGTCCTGGGCACTGTGAGCTGTTGGGCAGCATCCCCGGTCTCTCCCCATCATCGGATGCAAGCAGCGCCCCCTCCCCTGCTGTGTTCTGACTGGTCCCTGGCGGGGCACACTGCCCCCTGCAGGACAGAGGGGAGGGTGCTGGAGAGCAGGACAGGCACTCACTCTGGGCGATGCTGGACGCTGTGTAACTCTCAGCCATGCCGGACACCTGGCTAGCAATGCTGATCTCGCTGGCCCGGCGGAAACCTCGGGTGGCGGGGGCTGCACCAGGAGAGGAGGGCGCCGTGTGCTCTTGGAAGACCGTGTTATGGGTCTGGAGTGCCTCCGCTGCAGGTGGACAGGGACCAGAGACCTGGGGTTAGAGAGGCCCCACCTTACCCAGCCCTCCCAGCCCCTGAGCAGTGTGAGCAGAAGGGTCCAGCATGCGCCTGGGCTGGGGGTCCCGAGGGGCAACTGGGCCAGGCGTGGCTGACAACCCTCGCTGCAGATGAGCAGGGCCAGCTGTGAGTACGGGCCCAAGCGAGCTGGGGCTGAGAGTGCAGGGCAGAGCCAAGGCTGAGAGAAAGGAGGGCGGGGCAGGGTGGACAGAGGACCAACACGGACACAGCAGGCGAGGAGGCAGGCGGCTGGCCCCACATCCCTGTAGGGGCCCCCTTCTCACCCCACACACAGCTCCTGATCTGCCCTAGTCTGGCCATTTGGGCCTCCAGGGTCTGGCCCAGTCTCACCCACAGCCAGGGACAGTGGGACTTGAGAGGCCTCAACCACAAGGGCCTAAGTCGGCTTCCCAGGGATGCCCTCACTGAGGCCTCACATGCGTCCCTCACCGGCCACACTGACCAAGGCAGGGGCTGAAGGCAGGGCAGGGAGAGGATAAGGGACTCAGCTATAGGACCCACGGCGGGATGGGGCGCAGGAGGTGCCTGGGCCTCCTCAGGGAGGGAAGGAGGTGGGACCTGGAGATGCGAGCCCTCACCAGGACTGAGGCTTCTCCTGGCGGAACAGGGGAGCCCCGTGGGCTCACCCATCTCCTGGAGGCCCCTGTCAGCCTCGTAGTGGACCAGCACCTTTGCTAGGGGACCCTGGATATCTGCTCCCCTCTCAGGGCTCAGCGGCTCCCTTCGCTTTGGGTCCTCTCCGGCTCTGCCCCAGTGCACAGAGAGGCACCAGGACCTGTTCCCCAGCTTGGATCCTGCCTGGTCTCCCTTCCTCCCCACTTCATCCCACAAACTCCTAGGGGCCAGAAGCACGGGGTGGGGGTCGGGAGGGGGGTTGGAGGGGAGGAGAGGTCCCTGAGGACCAGTGCTTAGCCTGTGAAGCAGGTGCCACCACGAGCAGGGGGTTTACACACACTCAGCACAGCCCGGGCTGGGGCTGGGCCCATCTTGCCAGGTGAGCGCGGGAACTGGGATACTGGTTTCCAGGAAGCCATCCCCGGGAGGGAGAGGGGCCAGGGGGCCGCCCTCCAGGACCAGCTCGGGGTTTCTCTGCACGGTCTCGACTGAAGGCAGACGGGGAGAGAACAGAGAGGACAAGAACAGACACTCGTGTGGACCGTCCAGACAGGCTCCAACACAAGACACGCGGGCTCTTCGAGGACCAGGACATGACGACACACTGGGACACACGCTGGGGTGGGTGGGATGGGGCTGTTCCCAGCGAGGGCGGAGAAGGGACTTCGGGCAGCCCTCACGCTGCCTCCCTGCCCAGGGAGGATACTCTGCGGCCTCCCATCCTGCGCCCCCATGTCTGGATTGGGCACCAGGGGGCCCAGCACAGGGCTCCTTGGGTTCTCAGCTCTGCCCCCGGGGGCACCGCGGAGGTAGCCTGGTCCCCTGGCGTGGCACGCGGCTCTCACCCAGCAGCGTGGAGCAGCCGTCGCCCAGAGGGTAGCGCTGGTAGCGGGGGATGCTCAAAGGCGGCAGGGCGTGGAATCGCCGTTCCAGCAGAGGCTCCAGGCGTGAGGCTGACGGGTCCGCGGGGTGGAACAGATTGTAGACTTGCTGGCAGGCCGGCCGCAGCTGGAAAACTGGGGCCGGGGAGGGGGCGGAGTCACGGAGGCCGCAGCTAGCTCCGCCCAGGGGCGGGGCGGGGCGGTGGGCGGGTATTATGCAAAGCTCGGAAGTATGTGTCTATCAATTTGGGTTGGGATCTGTTGGAGCTAATGCCCCTTTATTAACCGTTCTTTTTTTTTTTAATTAAAAGTTATAATGACTGTTGTATAAAAAAATTTTTCAAAGTACACGAGTATATGCTGAAAGGCAAATGGAAGGCTGCCTTCCGCCTCCAAGTCCCGCGGCTGGAGGCCCACGTGCAGCTAGAAGAGGCTCTTACGCGTGCGCAGCGGGGCAGGAGCCCGCCTGCTGGGGGTTGGAAAGGTCTCCTCCGCTGTCAGAATGCGCTGCTGGCTATTCCAGCTACTTCACGTGAAAGTAAGACAGGTATCCCCCGCTTTTCAAAAGGTCACGTTCTGCCAGTTTGCTATTTACGAAAGACCTCTGTTAATAGATGCGCTTCGACTTATGATGAGCTTAGGTCCCAATAAACCCACTGCCAGTTTAAAATACGGTTAAGTCGAAAATGCATTCGATACATGTTAGCAATGGAACACCAGAGCTTTGCCTAGCCCGCTCTGCTCATGCCCAGAATACTTATACGCTGGCCTAGGGTGGGACAAAATCATCTTCACAAAGCCTACTTTATAACGGCCGGCCCCACGAGAGAGTATTGTATAGCACGTACCGCTAGCCTGGGGAAAGAAAGGATCAGATTCCAAATCGGCAGTGCAGTTTCTACGAAACGCGTTATTGCTTTTGCACCCTCGTAAAGTTGAAAAATTGAAAGTCGCACAGAAGTTGGGGACTGCCTGTACCTATTCCCACTAACTAAAAGAAATTCAAGGAGCACTTTAGCTTTTACAAAGAAAAGCGACATTAGCCCTGGCTGGTGTAGCTCAGTGGATTGAGCGTGGGCGTGTGAACCAAAGGATTGAGGTTTGATTCCCAGTCAGGGCACGTGCCTGGGTTGCAGGCCAGTTCCCAGCAGGGGACCCATGAGAGGCAACCATACACGTTTCTCTCCTTCTTTCCTCCCCTTCCCTTCTAAAGATAAATAAATAAATAAAAATCTAAAAAAAGCAAAGCGAAATCAGTGCTCAGCGTTTATTCTGCGCAGCGGTGGTAGAGGCAGCGTCCTGGCCCCGCCAAGCTTCTTCCCGGAAACCACACTCAGCGGCTGGGCGCCCAGCTGCTGGAGCGCTGAGCTCTGTCTGACATCTGGGCTCAATCCATTTATTTCGGCAGCTGTGATGCTATCAGAAAAGCCTGAGAGAGCTCCTAAGAATGTTACACATATTATAAAAAAGATGGGCGGGATGAGGCATATTTGGTATGACTTGGTGGGTTATTTTGGGGGCCTGCGGGTTCTCAAAAAATTCCCCTATACATGAATGGTGGGGGAACCCATATGAACTGGCAGTAATGTCTCACTCTTAAAACACACACACGAATGGGAACTTGTGCTATACTTTTTGAACTTTGCTTTTTTTTCCATCTCATGCACAAAATGCTGGAGTCATTCATATCATCACATGCAGTTCTGCCCCGTTCTTTTTAATCTGTTTTTTTTTTAAGACTTCATTTATTTATCTTTAGAGGGGAAGGGAAGGAGAGAGGGAGAGAAACATCAATGTATGGTTGCCTTTTGTGCATCCCCTGCTGGGAACTGGCCTGCAGGGAACCGGCCTGCAACCCAGGCATGTGCCCTGACTGGGAATCGAACTGCGATTGTCTGGTTCGGAGGCCTGCACTCAATCCACTGAGCTACACCAGCCAGGGCTATGCCTCGTTCTTTTTAACGTAACATTCCGGTCTCTGTCTTCCTGTACTTGTACGTAACCCCTTGGCTACCGGCTCCTGAGCAAGTGTCTAAACCCCTCTGAGCCTTAGTGTCCCCCTCTGTAACCTGGGCCCTGCGGGGTGAGGGTGGCAGGGCCGCCCTGGCCGATCCTGGGGGCACCCGGCAGGGCCACTCCGACAGGCTGCTCAGCCCGCGTGTCTCGGCTCTGTGTCCACTATGAGGAGGGTCCCTGGAGCAGCGAGGCTGCGGCACCTCTGGGGCTGGAAGGCCACCACACCTAGAAGGCTTTGGAGGTGACTGACTTCCTTTTCCTCCCCTTTGGGAAGACCCTGGGTCCGAGAGACTGAGTGTCTCCCCGTTTGACCCTGAAAGGGTCCCCATCCTCTCTGGGCCTTGGCTTCCCAAGGTGCCTTAGAGATGAAATGAAACAGCAGGTGTTGGGGGACAGGAGCCAGGGACGGGGCTGCTGCAGCAGGAGCAAGGGACAGGGAGGGGCCCCTAGTGAGGAGGACAAAACAGTCTGAGGCAGGAAGGGATCTGGGACACGACCATGGCCGCGTGACAGGGGTCCAGGGCTCTCACCGTCCAGGGTGGGGATGACAGTCTTCCTCAAGGCCAGGACCAGCCCCAGGGGGCACCCGAAGAGGAAGAGGTCGGCGATTTCAAAGTCGAACTTGCCCAGGGCCCCTGTGCTGTCCAGCATGGCGGAGCTGCTGGGTCGGCGGGAGCAGGGCTCGCTCCTCAGCACGCTCGCATGGAGGCTGCAGAGAGGGGGCGCGCCAGGTCACCCCGGGGCCCTCCTCGGGGCTGGCCGGCCCTCGGCTCCGGAAGGAGGCCTCTCAGGGGTCTTCCGGCCCAGAGAGGCTGGACCCCCACATGGCCTTTCAGGTGGGTGCGGCTGCCCAGGGCCTGCTGGGGCCCCCCAGGGACCGAGGGTCCCGACCTCTCTAGGAGCCCAATGCCTTAGGGACAGCCCTGACAGGGCCCGTGCTGTCCCTGGTCAGTTCCGCCCCCGACAGTCTGTTCCCTGTGCTTTAAGGTGGCCCTCAGCACGGACAGGGCCACAGCGGTTCCTTTACAAACCGCTTTCTCCTGGTGGAAGAGCTGTGGGCCCGGCGTGGGCTCGAGGGCCTGCAGGCCCCTCTCGTTGGCCGTCCCTCCCTCTAAAAGGCCCGGTCCTCCCCTGGCAGCGGGCCTCGTAGTCGGACCCCAGTCCCCTGCCAGCCCCACCCACCTGGACAGGAAGGCCTGGTGCTGCTGGATGGTGTCCAGCTCGTAGGTGGACGTGTCGCTCCTCTTTCGGGGCAGCTGCCTCTTGGGGTCCTCGGTGCCGTTGCTACGGGGGATGTCGATGTTGCTGCGGCTCAGGTGCCTGCTGCTCTCCAAGCTGCTGCCGCCACTGCCGCCGCTGCCGCCGCCGCCGCCGCCACCGCCATGCGACGGGTTTACCAGGCCGCCCGGGGACAGCAGGTCAGCGTCCTGGAACAGCCCCGTGCAGGCTCACTGCCAGGGGGCTCCCCCGACTCCGGGCCCGCTGGCCACTGTCCAGCCAGCCTCTCACCCTGCCCGTCCCTGTCCCCACTGCCTGCCCCCCGGCCCACCGGCCAGGCACCGACAGCCTTTGTTCCTGGTACCTGCACGCTGGCCACGCTGCCCCTGCGGCTGCTGCTCCGGCTCTCAGACGCCGGCTGGCTGCTGCAGCACAAGGCGTCGAAGGCCAGGATGCCCCCGACGCAGTCCCCGACCAGGCAGACCTGGGGAGAGAGGCCCTGGGGCCTGAGCGCTGCGCGGGGGCGCCGCGCCCCCCTGCCACAGCCGGGCTGGGCACGCAGCAGGCCCGCCCTCAGGGCTTTCTGCCTTCCCTTCCCCCAGCCCAGGACTCACCTGGCCGTTGAAGGTCACTCCCTCCTGGGACTTGATGAAGTCCCCGTAGGCGAGGTTGGCCCGCTGGATCACCGTGGCAACCGCCTCCTGGTACTGCGGTGAGGAGGTGGCCAGCAGGGGCAGGGCGGCCAGCGGGATGTGGTCCTGGCTGCTGGACAGACAGCCTTCGTCGTGGCTGTAGGGGCTGAGGCTGGGGGAGTGGGCCGGGTCAGGAGAGCGCAGGGGCCTCAGGTCAGCACCCTGCCACCCAGGGGTCTCAGCTGTGAGTTGGCACACCCAGTGGGGACAGTCCCAGGCCAGTCTCTGGGCAGGTGTGGGAACAGAGCTGGGCAATTCGGCTCGGCGTCTCGGACGCACATTGGAGAAACTGAGGCTCAGGCTTGGGTCCCACCCCTCCTGCCTTCGTGCCCAGCCGTCTGCACAGGCTTTGCCCTCTCTTGAGCCGAACAGGCTGGGTGGTGGGTCTGGATGCCCAGACAGGGGCTCCGGTTCAGGGGGCGGCACGTGGCCCCCGGGGCGGCCACAGAGCAGAGCAGAGCACTCACTTGGAGACCAGGGCGAAGGCGTCGGAGCAGACGGGCGGGCAGGGCACCAGGCGGAGGGCGAGGCGGCCCAGGGCGCTGGGGTAGTGCACGCGCATGACGGTGTCGAACACGGTGGCGATGGTGTTGGCGTCGCCCTGCTTGGAGCCGGGGTCCCCGGCGCCCGTGTCCAGGATGGTGCCTCCGTGCAGCAGCAGCAGCAGCACGTGGACCTTGGAGGGCGGCGTGGCCAGCGGCGGGCTGACCTCGTCCTGTGCGGGCGGAGGGCGGGGGCGGATGTCAGTCCCCCGGAAGCTCAGCTCCGGGCCTGGGCCCCGTCACCCTGGGGAGGCCAAGCCACTTTCCCTGCTCCCGTCTGCCAGTGTGACTGTGATGCAGAGGACATGCCGGGGACTCCAGTCCCCCAAGAGCACACACTCCACCTCTGTTGGGGGGCCCAGGCAGGCAGAGACTCAGCCGGCCCAGGCTGCGGGGTCTCAGTCCCAGCAGGCAGGGTGACAGCCAACTCAGAGTCACGGGGTCACTTACGAGCGGCTGATCTCAGGGCCTCGGCCCGGCCAGCTAGGAGCTCCCTCTCCCTCCATCTACCTGGGGCCTCCCTCCGGGCCCTGGCCCCCGGCCCCCAGCCCTTCCATTCCTGGACTCTCAGCAGCCCCTCGTTTGCAGGGGTGAGGACACCTTCCTGCTCTCAGGCCGCGTGTGACGTCAAAGTGAGACCTGCGGCTGCACATAGCCACACGAGGAGCCATCCCACTTAGAGGGGAAACGGTGGCGGCTTGGGGGGCCCAGGGACTTGTCTAGTGTCACAAGGTACTTCAGTGCCAAGCCGGACGGGGACCCAGGGCTCCTGCCATCCCAGCCTGGGGCTCCATCCCCAGGGAATGTCCCCTGCCCGCGGCTGCCGGTGTGGGACGGGGTGGGGAAGAGGGGGGGCCGGGCCCAGGAGGGGCTGTTGGTGAGCACTCGCTGTGCCTGTGTTATGTCAGGGGACGCGGGGGAAGGGAATTGAATTGAGAGGGGTTTGTCCCCAAGAGACCAGGGAGGCAGACCAAGGAGCTGAAGCCAACTGGGGCGCCCACGTGAAGCAGGACGTGGGGCAACAGCGCGACCCGAGTGTCCACACGGAGGCGGGAAGAGGGGTGGTCAGCACAGGCACCGGGCCCAGGTGCTGGTGAGGCAGAGGGCTCCGGGCAGGTGGGGACGGACGAGGGTGGGCGGCCTCGTCCCCGAGCGGGGCCTGGTCACCGACCAGCCATGCATGGGCCATGCAGAGTTTGGGGAGAGTCACCTGTCCCCACACAAGGTCTGCCCTCCTGCTGGGCGGCAGGGCAGGAAAGAACTCACAGCCCAGAGCAGGGCGAGACCACCGGCTGCCCAGACCACAGCCCCAGACGGGACCACCCCGGGGCCCTGGGCTCTAAGGCCCGGCTAGTGACTTATGGAGGAAATGTCGGTGGCAGCCTCCCGGTCACCCAGACAAGGAAGCAGAGTCCAGGTGCACAGCCGTGGGACTGCACGGGCCGGGGCAGTTGGGGGACTGAGGGCCTCCTGCCTGTGCCTCTCTGCTGGGACTGTTCAGGGACCTTTGAGGCGAGGCCAGTTCGAGACCCATCTTCCCCCACTTCCACCCACTCTCTACGGGGCACGCCCTACCAGAGACGTGAGCCTGTGGGGACAGAGCTCACAGCACAGGGGGCCACGGGCCCTGAAAAGCCAGGGCACCCATTAGTGTCCCTGCCAAGCCGCCCCCTCCATGGGGCCGGGAGCGGGGGTTCTGCTTTGGGGGTTTCTGCCGGCAAGAGGATCTGCCTGCGGGTGGCGGGGCCAGAACGGCGCTGGGTCGGACGCACACCCTCGGCAGATCCGGAGCGAGCCCCATCTGCCCCTCCCGGGGGCCGTCAGAGCTGTGTGCCACGTGGGCGGGCTGGGGGCTCCGTCTGCTTTAACCGGCACTGGAAATTGACACCCCAGCCACACTTCCAGCAAAGCCGGATGGAACTCAGACCTCGAAGCAGAAAACCCCCAAAGGGGGGGAGGGCAGTGTGGAAGCTCCTTCCCCAACCCCGTCCGAACTCCCCAGGGGCCCCGAGTCCCCAGAGGCCTTCTGCACCTTGGGCAGCTCGAGGCCGGAGCAGTGCAGTGACCGCAGCATGGGCTGGCCCCTGGCCCCAGCGCAGACAGCTCTGACCACCACAGGTGGAGGAGGAGGAGGAGGGGCGTGAGCTCCGAGCAAAGAACCCCCAAGGCAGACACAGGCTCTGGCCAACACAGCTTTATTGGGCCCCGGGAGCCCCGCCTGCCCCCAGGGGGTATCACTTCTGCCTGAAAGGCTTCCGCTTCCTCCCCTTGAGAGCCTTTATCTTCAGGGACTGCAGGAAGACGGGGAGCAGGGTGAAGATCTTACGTTTGGTCTGGAATTTACAAGTTTCTCATTTTACTTCCCACGGGTGGCGGTGCCCACCGTCCCTGGGGGTTCTCAGGGGCGTCCGAGGGGGTGGGGGTCCCAGGCCGGTGTAGATGGGAGTGAGGCAGTGGGTGCCAACGCCTCCGTCGCCCCACGGGACCGTCCTCTGAGCCCCTCCGCCTCCCCGGAGGCCCCGGGGGGCAGCGGCAGTGCAGCCCCCGCCCCTGCCCCCCACACCCACCTCCATGATGTTCAGCCGCTCCACACTGGAGGCCACCCTGAATTCGGGGGCGCTCTGGCGGTACAGGCCGTCTGTAACACAGAAGCGGGGGGCCCGTGAGCCGGGGGGCCACCGGACAGGTTGTGCTGGTAGTAAGTGGGGCCCAGGGTGCCCCTCACTCCCGGCACCGGGCAGGCGCTGGGCCCCCCGCGGCTGCCCCCCAGGCCCTGCAGCACCCCGGACGGTTACCCTGCGTGTCCTCCGGCTCGGGGCCCTCGATTTTGTCCATGAGGTCGTTACTGCTCCACTTGCTGATGTCCTTGGGGAACATTTCCTCCGAGTCGGACAGGTCCTCTGGGGGAGGGGGCAACAGGGGCTTCAGCAGGCTGTCCAGGAACAGGGGCGGGGGGCCTGCTCCGGGTGCCGGGGCGTGGGAAGGGCGGCTCTGGTCTCTCCCTTCCTTCACAGGAGGACGCACCCCGGCACCCCCACGGGGCTCCTGCCCGACCTTTTCTAGAAAACTGGTGACGTGCACACAACATAACGTTCACCACTGAAGCCGTTTTAAAGTCCACCGAGTGCCTCCCCAGGGCTGTGCGCCCGCACGCACCTCGGTCTGGTTCCGGGTCATTTTCGTCCCCCAGACGGAAACCCTGCCCCACGGGCAGTTGCACCCACCCCCCTCCCGCAGCCCCGGCACCCCTGTCTCTCTGGATTTGCCTGTTCTGGGCATTTTACACAGAGGGGCCCCGTACGGCATGTGGGCTTTGATAACCTGGCCGCCTTCCCTCGGTTTTTCGGGGTTCGCCCACACTTTATGCCTGACCCCTCCCATGGCACTGCTGGAAGGGCGGAACACGTGTTGCTTCTCCTCACGTCAGCTTCTGTAACTGGCTGTTTCTCTCTCTCTTTTTTCCCCCCCAGTCCTTACTCCAGGACATGCTCACTGATTTGAGTGAGAGAGAGAGAGGAAAGGAGGGACAGAAATGTCAACGTGACCGAGAAATACCTATCAGTCGCCCCAACCAGGGACTGAACACACAGCCTAGGCACGTGCCCTGACCAGGGATCGAACCCTCGACCTTTCGGTTCACGGGACGACACTCCCACGAACTGGGCCCCACCGGCCAGGGCCGGACTGTTTTCAGCGTCCACAAAACCCCCGTGGTGAGAAGCGCTGCTGTGGGCGGCCCCGTCCCCGATTCTGCTTTTCTGAGTACAGCCACCATGACTGCCAGGTCGGGGGCAGCCGTCCAGGCCCTGGTGTGTGTGTGGTCCCTCCTCCAGCCAAGTGACAGTCACAGGGCCATTGTCCCCAGGATGCTGGCAGCCCCTGGCTTTGCTGCCTTGTCTTGTGCCCGGCTTTTCCTAAAGTCTCTATGTGACAAGGGCACCTCCCTCACACCAGGATGCAGCCAGCAGGGGCTCGGCCTCTGGGCCTGGCCGGCGGGGGGAAAGGGTGGGATGCCCCAAACGTCCTTCCCCACCCTCAGGGAGGCCTCAGGTACAGAGGCCGGCTCAGGAACCCCCTGTCACTTGTTGGAGGTCCCCAAGCCCCAAGCCCCAAGCCAAACCAGGCACTTGGCTTTTGCCTGGACGCCGACCCCCCAAGCTCTCTCCCTGGAGGGCAGGCCAGCTGACTGAGGGGCCAGGAAGGTGCCGCCGCTGCCCAGCCGTGTGCCTGCAGGCGAGTCCCTGTCCCTCACTGAGCCGGTGTCCCGCTGCAGCCTGCAAACCGGACCCCACTCCTGGACCTGTCTGCAGGCTCCTCACAGGTTCTGTGCGCTCATCCCCCGGCTTCAAGGCGCTGCCCGCTCACTGTGCCCATTTTGGGAAATATGGGGGGCACTTCGCGTATTTTCTGCTTGTTCCCACTTTCCTGAAGTTTTTATGTCAGACGTGTATTACCTTAACCGAGGGGGAAGACTAAGGTAATTGAAATAAAAAATTTCGGAAAATTATGAGGAGTTACACTTTTATGAAGCTTCCTGTGGAAATAAAGTCACGCCTGGACAAACAGCCCCCGGACCGTAAACCCACCTCTGGGGGCTCCAGGGAACGGCCGCACCTGCCAGGCCCCGTGGACACCGGACGTGGAGCCGCGGTTCACCCGGGGCTCCTGGGGACGCCACCGCCCTCCTGCTGTCCTCCACGCCGCGCTGTTCACCCGCACTCCCCGGGGGTGACTGCCACTTCGGTCCACTCCCCACCCCTCCCAGGAGGGCGCCCGGAGCCCGCCTACCGTGAGCGTCGAAGAACTCGTCGTCAGAGCTCTCGTCCGAGTCCCGAGCGATGCTCTGCATCCTCCATTCTGAGATGCTGTGGCGGGAAGGGCTGGCTGGAAGGCAAAACCCGCACTGACGGACCACCCGGCGGGGTGGGGGGCAGCGGACGGAGGACAGGCCCCAGTGAGGCTGCCCGAGTGGGCCAGGAGGCCTCGGGAGAGGGTGACTCGCAGAGAAAGGAGGGGTGGAGTGGCTCTAACTTGTCCCCAGGGAAGCTCCCGGGACTTTCAACATGGTCCCCTCCCAGCCCACCTGCCACGATGTCATCATGTCCCGGGGAGGACGTGGCGGGGGCAGGGGACCGGGTGTCAGGTGTTGAAACCAAAAAAATAGGGAATAAAATAGGGACTGCCTTAAAGAGACTTGGCCTGGAGGAGCAAGGAACTTACAGCAAAAACCACAAGGAAGTTAAGAAAGAACACAGGGAGTGGAGAAGGCAGAACTACAAAACCAATGGGGCTGAACAAGGAGAGGACCACCTGTTCAAGTGTCTAGGTTAAAATTTTTCCATTACTCAAAACCCGGAAAGCTTAGGTCATGCTTGCTTGCTCGTGCCACCCGAGTAGCCAGTAGCTGACAGCCACATTTGCTTCTATACAATGCTTGCTTGCTCGCGTCTATAAAAAGTCTTAGCTGTAAGCGTTTAGCGCGGCTCTCGTTTGCAGCTCTTATGAGCACCGTGTCTCTGGACACTCTGAGGGTCCGCTCCTGCGCAGGTTAAAACTTTGGCCAATAAAGTTTCTTACAATTTGTCTCTTGTGTTGGTGGATGCAACATCAGGCTCACAAGCCTGGGTCCACCTCGGTGTCTCTGACCTGGGCCAGCCCGCGGGCCAGCTCCTTGAGTTCTCCTGCGGCAGAGCCCAGAGGTGGGGACCCAGGGCTGCGGCAGGGGGTGCATGACATGAAGGCTGTGCGTGCGTGTACTCCCACAGACACCGTCAGCCCAGGGACAGACACGCGGGCATGGGGGAAGCTGGGTTTGCAGAGCGGACCCCTGACATTACAGAAGATGCCTCGTTTTTCACAGCAGCCAGGGACACTCACAGAAGTCCCCTCAAGAAAGGCGTGTCCAGGATCTGAGGCCTTCAGGCCCCCTTAGGAGCAGAGATGCCCCCTCCTTGGTGTCCTTGGTGTGGCCCACCCAGCACCCTTTTCCTCCTGGAACCCTGGGTCCCAGGAGAGGCTGGGAGTGGGATGCCCACGTGCCCGGCTTGTCTGTCTTACCTGGGCTATGGGGGTGAGTCTGGGGGAACCTGCTGGAAGGGGTGGGGCGCCCGGGGCTTCTCCTATAAGCAGGAGACGGGCTCTGACTCCCTGTGGCAGGGTCCCCGGGCAGAGCTGGTGGCCACAGGCTCACCTCCGCGCTTGGACGACCGGGACGACTTGGAGGACGTGGACCACTGCTTCTTCAGGCCCCGGCCGGCCAGGGCCTCGCCGCCGCTGCTGGGCTGTGGGGGCTCCCCGGGCGCTTGGGCCTGGCCGGCTTCGCCCTTGGCCAGCTCTGCAGCCTCCTCGTCATCCTCGATGAACTGGGCCATCTTCCGGGAGAGCATGAGCTGCGCCTCCTTCTCCAGCTCCCGGATGTTCTCCATGCTCAGCCCGTACCACTCGTCCTGCCAGCACCAGGCCTGCCGGTGTGCCCTGACCATCACCTTCCGCAGGCCTGCGCCCCGCGGGCGGTGGCGGCAGCAGGGACAGAGACAGAGGCCGTGTCAGTCCCGGCTCCGGGGGCCCCCCTCGGGCCGGGCTGGGAGGCCCCCCTCTCCACCTTGGATGTTGCAGGGCAGGCTCTGACCCACACTCACAGGGTGGCCTCAAGCACATCACTGCCCTGTGACTCAGATTCCCTCCCTGTGGCCCACGAGCGGCCCCCCAAGGTAATGTGTCTGCTCAGAAGCCACACTGAGTTTGGGGGTGGGGCGTGGGGGCGATTTCTGGCACGAGAAGAGGACTTCCTGAGCGTGTCCAGTCTCAGTGTCTGGTGTGCTTTCCCTATCAAATTTCCCATGGACAATCAAGTTCGAGTTCAAAGCAGCTTGGTCTTTTTTTTTTCCTCTCTAATAGAATATAGACATGTATAAAATAAGGTGGATCTTAGGGTATAAAAATAACAGAAGAACCAGAGCGACAGAGGTTGCCTGGGGCTGGGGTGGGAGTGGCGGCAGGGGGACTGGGAAGAGGAACAAAAGACGGAGGTGATGGAATGTTCTAGAATACGCTAAAACTTATGGAACTGTCCTCTCACAACCAGAGCAGCACAGGGTCTGTAAAGTTAGTCCTCAGTAAAGCGGGTTACGAAACCGCTGAGGGAGCCACAAGGGGCCCTGCACGCACCTCCCAGCAGGGGGCAGACGCGGAGCCCACCCACCTTTCTCCCTCCCCCAAAGGGCCCGCCCTTAACTTTGGGGTGATCCTCCACTTTCTTCCTGGTTTTGGCACACAGACGTGTCCCCTACCCAGTACGCTGGGCTGGTTTGCATGTCGTTGACACTTAACGAGAACGTTTGCTTAGGACGGGAGGTCTGGGCTCAGACCCAGCACGGAGGCTCTGTCCTTTACAGTCACGGGTGACAGTGGCCACCCTCTCGGGTGACTGTGAGCTGATATGACACGTGCGAAGTACGGTATCATCAGTGTAGATCTGTTCACATCTGAACTAAGGCCCTTGGCTCTTGCAGTCAAAAGGGGACACTCAGGTGCTACTTCTAGGCCAGCAGCCTTGGGCGGGGACAGGCCTGTGGCACGGACCTCATGCCCTGACCTGGACAGTCAAGGAGCCGAGGGCTCTAGGCGGGAAAGACCCCCATCAGCACCAGCCAGGACAGGAACCCCAGGCCAGCGGGGCCAGGCCTGCACGGTGTGAGGTCACTACGACGTGCCCGGGAGCTTCTGGCCCAACGGGGGAGGCTGCCCTGGGCCAGGGCCTTGGGGCGCCGGGCGGTGCCGGTGAGCCACGGGGAGCTGTGGCCAGAGGCCGCTTCCCCACCGGGAGAGGACACCACGGTGTTGGGTGCAGGGCCTGGGGCTTCCTCAGGGGACGGCGGTCCCTGCCTATGGTTTACAGGTGCTCAGCAGCGGTTTATAGGTGGTCAGGATAAAGCAGGCTTCGGGGTCACCTTCCGGGAGTAAGACGGGAATGCAGAGTCCCAGCCCGACACGGAGAGGTGGCGGGGACCCCGGGGGCGGGGGGGACGCAGGGCGCCGGCGGCAGGCCTGCTCACCGGTGTCGTGGATGAAGCGCTCAATCTTGGACTGCATGCCCCAGTAGCGGAACTCCACCTTGCACAGCTTGTAGGCGCACATGATGGGGAGCACCTGCCGCTTGGACTCCTCGATCCAGTTGTCCGACAGGGGCCCCCGCTGGGTCTTGGTCGAGTGGAACAGCTTGGGGTCCTCCTCTGTCCTGTACTCGTTGGGGGGCACAGGGTCCTTGACGATGTCGATGAAGTCTGCGGGGAGACCCTGGGAGTGGTCACCCCCACCTTGACCCCCACCTCCCCGTCCCTGTTGCCTCCAAGTCCTTGCGGGGCTCTGGGCCTCCCTGCGCCCGGGGCCGGGCGCCGAGTGTGCGGGGAGGCGGGAGAAGGCTGCCCTGGGCCCCTCTGACCTCGAGCTCCTGGCGGCAAAGCCGGCCACTTTCCTTGCTGCCTTTTCTCATCATTTCAGCAAACCCATGTTTTGGGGGCATTCTACCGGTCGTCAAAGCAGACTCATAAGGTGGTGAATTGACGCTGCACGGGGGGCTGGGGGATGAGGCGTGGGGTGGGCAGCAGAGACGGCCAGGAAAAGCTGCCCGGGAGGAGGCATCTCCACTGCAGGGCGCTGTGAGGCCGACCAGGCTGAGGGGCAGGGGCGGGGCGCGCTGCCAGGGGGTCTGAGTGCGGCAGGCACTGCGGTGCGGCCTGTGGCCTTTTCTCGCCAGGCTAAGCGCCTGGATGGCCCCCTGAGGGCGAAGGGGCACCACACACGGTCCTCAGGCAGGCTGGCCTGTGGCGCACCCTCCCAGGGGGCGGAAGGGAGGAGCCGGGAAGAGTGGTACAAGTGCCCCTCGGGAGGTGCGGATGCCACAGGGCTGGGCACCTGGGAAACAGGGCTGGGGGTTCGTGGGGCCTGGGAGGGAGATGGTGACAAGGACGGCAGCGACTCTTGGAAGGATGCGAGACAGGCTCCCTCTTGTCACCCGCCTCCTACCCCCAAGTCAAAATGGCCCGTTGGGCTGAGTCCAGAGGCTTGGCTGCCTGAAACACCTACTACACGTGATCGCCGCCGGGGCTCGGGACCCAGCATCCAGGGTGCTGGCGGCTGAGCTGTGTCTGGCCCGCAGGTGTGTTTTGTTTGGCCGGCAGGAGTTCACTTAAAAAGATTTTAAATGAGCGGCCAACATTCAGGAGTCGGGTGCTTTCCTGTGAAAATCCTGGTGGCTGGCCTCTCTTAGAAAAGTAGATGTAGCCCTGGCTGGCATAGCTCAGTGGATTGAGCGCGGGCCTGCGAACCAGAGTATCGCGGTTCGATTCCCAGTCAGGGCACATGCCTGGGTTGCAGGCCAGTTCCCAACAGGGGACTCATGAGAGGCAACCATACATTGATATTTCTCTCCCACTCTTTCTCCTTCCCTTCCCCTCTCTCGAAAAATAAATAAATAAAATATTTAAAAAAAAAAAAGAAAAGTAGATGTAACCAGTGGTCCCCCTGCGATGGCCCGCCGAGCTCACAGGCACTCCTCAAAGGGAGGGCAGGGAGGGGCTCGGGGCGAAAGGGAACTTGGTGTGCATGTCGAAAACGGGGCCAAGAAAGCCGATCCCGTCCGCCCTTGCCCGCCACTCTGACCGCCTCGCGCAGGACAGGAGCCGGTCTGGAGCCCGCCAGGCCCGGAGAGAAGGGGCCCGTGGCTCGGCCCTTCCTGGCACGGGAGCACCGTGGTGGACGTTTACCGATTGTCAGCTGGTTTTTTTCCACAGGCGACAGGCTGAACACATTCGGGTTTTCTCCTGCATCGGTTTTATAAAACGTTTCAATGTCGATGGAGAATTTCTCCACAAAGGGGCAAGTGAACCTGCGGCGGGAAGAAGAGCATCCATCAGCCCTGGCTGGTGTGGCCCAGTGGACTGAGCCTCGGCTTGTGAACCGAAGAGTCGCCGGTTGGATTCCCAGTCAGGGCCCATGCCTGGGTTGCAGGCCAGGTCCCTAGTAGGGGGCGTGTGAGAGGCAACCACACATGGATGTTTCTCTCCCTCTCTTTCTCCCTCCCTTCCCCCCCCCCGTCTAAAAATAAATAACATAAAATATTTAAAAAGAAAAACATCCATCAGGACCCACAGGTGGGTGGAGGGTGGCTGGGCCGGGGCCTTCTGGTCAGGAGAGAAGGGCCCCCCATGTGACCCCGGTTGACCCTGGTTGACCCTGGTGGGAGAAGGAGGCTGCAATGGCGGACTAAGCTTGTCTGACTTGTCTCCCTCCTGGGCCTTCCCCTTGTCCCAAGAAGAACCAAGGCCAGGCTGGGGGAAGGGATGGGTCCAGGGGGGAGACAGAGAAGTTGTGGGAAGCTTCTGGAAACCCCGTGTCCATTGTCCACGTGAGTAAGGCATGGTGTGGATGCAGGCACAGCTGTGGCAGCCTACTGCTGAGAGGTCTGAACTGGTCAAGTGCCCCCGTCCAGAAAGGAGTCAGGTCCGGCGACAAGGGAACGGCCCCCCGCCTTGGCTGGAGGTGAGCTCCGGGGAGGAAAGTGCTGTCGGGAGGAGGAATGCCTCCGGGGGTCCCCTGGCAACTCCAGGCCCTCACTGAGGGTGGGGAAGGGAGCCCCAGGAGACTCGGGGGGACCCCACCTGCACAGCACGTGCCGGGTGCAGCCCCCATCTGTTCTGACCCAGTGGTGCTCAGCTGCATTGGGCACGGAGTGAAGAACCCCTTACGTGGGGTCCAGAGGAAGCCCCAGTTCAACATGGGACCTAGTAAAACCTCGTAGTAACTGAACGTCTCAGGGTTGGAGGGGATCCGGGCCATCTGGTCTACCCCCAGGTCGTGTTTCTCCCCAGCTGGCTGACTGTCCCTCGTTCTCAGGCAAACACCAAGTGAGTCTGTGCTCCCTGAGCCGCCCCCGATGGCAAGGGGCTCTCAGACGGTCCTTGCTGAACTCACCGTGGCTTCCTGGCCTCCACCGGGGCAGGCTGGGGGGCACCCCGGGGGGCACCAACTCTGTTCTGCCTGTTCCCAGCAGGGGACCTTCAGGGAGCCCCTACCAGGCTCAGCTCCCCGGAAGTCTGGGGTCCTTGGGGTGCAGGGGCTGAGCCTACGGGGGTGGGGGGCTGCTCCCGGGACCCGTGCGCGGGCACCCCCGCTCACCTGGTCCGGGTGTAGGGGTAGGCGTTCCAGGACTCCTCCACCACCCGCAGGGCGGCCTTGGGCAGGATGGAGCGGAACCAGCCGGGGATGTGCATGCCTACGTGGTACACCTTGTGCGTGTACTGGCCAGAGCCGCCGGGGCCGTCCGTGTACGGCCGGTTCTCCAGGATCTCCACGCCGCTGCCCTCGCCATACGTCTCGTTGCGGCTCTTCTTCTGCAGGAACAAAGGCACTGTCACGCGTGGCGGCCAGAGCACTCTGCGGAAGGGAGGGGGCTCCGGAGACCAAGCTGCAGCGTGCCGCGCGGGAGGAGGGGCTTTGAGTGACTGGGCTGGCTCCCGTGTGTCGGGTCAGGACCCCTGAATCCAGGCGCCAGCTCCACGGCACAGCTGCAGGAGACCAGACGGGCGCGGCTCCCTCCCCCTCTCCCTCCCCCCTCCCCCCACGCTGCACAGGCAAACTCCTCATCCTGACACCCGTCTCTCCTGGGACTGTCCCCGGGGTCAGGGACAAGGCGGGGATGTCTGCTCTCTCCCCGCCACGCCACACGGCACTGGAGGCTCTTGCCATGAAAATTAGGCCAGAAAAAGAAACAACGAGAGGCATCCGAATTGGAGAGGAAGGAGTAAAACCACCTCCGTTCACCAATGACATCATCTCACGTGCAGAAAATCCTCAAAAGTCCTCCTGGAAGCCTGTTAGAGCTAACATATGAATTCAGCAAAAATGCAGGATTCCAAGTCAACACCCAAAAACACATAACGCAAAAAAGAAAACCGGAAAATTAGTTCCCTTTACGGCGGCAGCCAGAAGAATAAAGTAACTGGGAGCAACGGGGGCGGCATTAAGTAAATGCAGAGACCGGGAGACATGATACTGCACACGTCAGGGGGCGTGGGGGCCGCGTGGAAAGGGGAGGGGCTGCGAAGCCCCCACTGGTGGTTTCCAAACCGTCCGGGGAGTGAAGCGCGGCCCAGGGAAGGCCGTCGATAATGTTTTACTGGCTGTGTGCGGTGCCAGGTGGGTCCCGGAGATATGGGGGGGCCGCCTGGAAAGCAGGTGATTGTCTGACCTCTGTGCTGCACACCTGAAACCGCTACACAATGACACTGAACATAAACTGCGGATGGAAAACTTAAGAAATAAATCTGCTGCAAGAGAAAACACACAAGCACAAAAAGCAGGGAGGCCTCTGGCTCCCTCTCAGAGTCCAGAAGGATCACACGGAAGAAGTGGGAAGGGGCCTCGGAGTCACCGCCCGAGGGGCATGCCACCTGGGTCACCTCTAACCACCCTTCTGCTCGAATGTCCTCTCTTGAGTCTCAAAGCTCGGCTGGCCGAGACGCTCGTGACGTGAAGTCCAGCACCTGTTTCCATGGTGACGTGACGGCACTGCCCAGGCCACCTTCGGTCAGCTTCCCGAGCAGCAAGCTCACAGATGCACACACGCGGACGCCCCTGTGCGCATGCACACACCTACGCGCACCCCCGTGCACGCACACACAGGCACGCCCAGCAGCACGCCCCCTCCCCCTGGGCGTGACCCTCCTGAGGGCACGGAGACCTGCTGTATCTCCACGGCCCAGAAAGACTACTCTCCTTCAGATGGGGGAAAAAAAAAGCCAGACCCAGGTCAAGGCCGCAGCTGGAGTCAGGGCAGAGTCGCACCAGCCCTGGCGCTTCACAGGCGCGGCTGGAACGCGGCCCAGATCCCGTCAGGAAAGCAGCGACCATTTCCTGGCCATTTGCTCAGCACCCCCACCTCCCCTCCCCGCCCCCACCGCCCTTACGGGACTTCTGTCAGTTAGTGGGTGTGGTAAGCGCTTTGTTTGTCCTTTCTCCTTTAGTCATTGCAACAACTGCTTGGGGGAGGTGTGGTGTTACTATTCGCCCCATTTACAGACAGGCAAGTGGAGGCTGAGGGGGGTGGGGGGACGACTTCTCTGAGGTCACCGTGACTGAATGGCAGAGCCACCACTGGGGCTCATACTGGTTTGAGCCCGCAGCACGGGCTCCTCCGGGGGAGCAACGCGGTCCCATCCTGGCCCGGTTCCTTTTCCGTGGTCTCAGGTTCCGGGACCGTGAGTGGGGGCAGGGCGACCGACCTCCCCAAGCCCAGGTGTGATGGTTTGAGTGGCATCTCCCAAAATCCACGCCCACGCCCAGCCTCTGACGGTGACCTCACTCGGAAACGGGGCCTTTGCAGATGCGATTAGATGAGTTAAGGTGGGGTGCTGCTGGGTTGGGGTGTGACCCAGATCCAACGGCCGTCGTCCTCAGGAAAAGAGGGGACAGAGACCCAGACACGCAGAGAGGGAAGGAGGCCAAGCACCGTGAAGGCAGAGACGGGAGTGAAGCAGCCGCAAGCCAAAGACCTGGGGCCACGTGGGAGGGCCGGAGCCACGTAGGCCTGGGGCCAAGCGCAGACCCAACGGGGCCAGGATCCTTCAGAAACAGGGGGCTCCCGGGGTGGTGGGCTGATGAGGGTGGTAGGGGGGCAAAGACCAGGCCACCCTCGGGGCGGCGGCTCGGAGCTGTCCAGGGTCCTGGCCAGGCGCCTCTGACGGCTCGCTCTGAGCTGAGGGTTCGCTGGGCCTCTTCTCGAATGGGGGGCTCTCTCCCGGCCCGGCCAGACTGGTGTGTTTTTAAACCTCTCACACGTATGTCGAGCACTGGCCAGGCACGAGAGGAGGGGTGGGCGCACGGCTTCCTCCATCCTGTTCCCGGCCTCACGGAGGAGGCGGCTGGTTCAGCAGGTGGCCCGCCCCTCGCAGCCACCCCAGCTGGTCACTAGCGGGACGTGCATTAAGGTCTCGCTCTTCTTCCCACAAAAACGCGGCTGCCTTCCCCGACGCTCCCTCCATGTCCTCAGGCCCAGCCCAGGGCCACGCAAGCCCAGGGCCGCGCCCCAAAGCCCACGAGCAGCTGACTCCGGTTCCACACGCACCCGTCCCCCGCTGTGGACACGCCAGCAGAGCGGGAGGCGTTCTGCACACATCCCTGCCGTCCAGGCCGGGCCCAGGCAAGTCTGCAGAATTGAAACTTCTCTTTGTAACAGCGCTGCCGAGATCTGACTGCGATGGGTTCACACCCGTGGAACCGTCACACAACGAAGATCCTGTGTTTGTCTGACTCCCACACGGGGCAGGGAGACCCTGGGGACGTGGGGCCAGAGGCAGGTGGGACAAGGGAGGCAGCAGGAGGAGGGGCTTGGGAGAGTGTGCGGCTGGCAGCCCTGGTCCTGCAGGGCTTCACGTGGAAAGCTGTGAATGTGTTACATGCGTTGGAGGCACAAGGTTAGATGTTCAATTAAAAAAAAACCCTCGAAAGAGCCAATGGAGATGGCAGTTTTTGAGGGACCCGGAGTCAGAGGTGATTAAATGTTTGAAAGAGCTTTGGATGTTCTAGAAGCTGAAAGTCGGTCCCCTGGGGCCTGGACGTGCCCCGCCCTCGCAAGCCACGCAGAGCCGAGGGGCTGCCCGCTGTGGTCCGGGGCTCCCTGGGCTTGGGCGGGAATTAAGAAGCCACAGGACAAACACTCGCTTGGCTGGGCGATCTCCAGGGTGCCCTGAGCTGGGGGGCCGATAGCAGTCGCTTCTTCTCTCCCTGCTCTCGAGGAATAATTACAGCGAGTGGCTCGAGAGGGAGCTGAGTGGCGCTTCTGAAGCAGCCTGGAGCAAACAGCCCCCCGGAGAGGCGGAGTCTGGCGCTGCTCTCTTCCCAGTCAAGCTTCCGGCGCTGGGAATCTGCTTGAACTACAGCAGCTTCATCAAGCTCCGCCCTGACGGGAGCTGGGGGTCCGAGCTCTGCGGGGACCTGGCCCCGCCTCGGTGGGAGCCACCAAGCAAACTGGACCATCGTCAGGCGATCGGACCTCTGGCCATCCTTCTGTGCCAGAGGTAGGGGAGGGGCGGCAGGGCCGGGCAGCCACGGCCGGGCCCAGAGCTGGTTTAGAGTCAGACCCTCGACTGGGAAGGAAGCTGCCAGGCTGGGCAAAGGGCTGGGGCGCCGAGGGTGAGCAAGAGCCAGCGGGGAAGCTGGGATGGGGACCGCCACGGAGCAGGACCCTGGCCCGTGGAGCTGTGGTCAGGTCTGGGCCGTGAGTGTGAGATGCTGGGCTCTGGGCCCTGGGGTGTCGCGCAGTCTGGTCAGGCACAGAGTAGGGAGACCAGCGGTGCCGGGGGTAGGGTGGGGTAGCATTCTCTGGTTTGTCACAGGACGCTGTTGTCCTCAAACTCATTTGTGACTTGACAAGTTAGCCGCGTAGCCGCCAGCACCAGTAAGGGATGCCTGGACCTGGGAGGCGGGAGGCAGGCTGGGTGCTCTTGGGAGGGTCACTGGATGTCTCTGGGCCTCCTACCTTCCCATCTGTCAAATGGGTGGTCACGGACCGAATTCCTGTGCCCCCTCCCCTACCTCAAAAGGACTAACACCAACGGTATGAAGGGGTCAGGCCTTTGGGGGGGGGGCGATCGGATTGTCAGGGTGGCGTCCGTCCCCGTGCTGGGGTGAGTGCCCTTATAAAAATACCCCAGGGCGCCCGGTCCCCTCTGTTATATCAGGCCCGGCGAGAAGGCGGCCACCAAATCGGTCAGCTCCCTGACCTTGGACTTCCCAGACTCCAGGGCTGTGAGAAGGCAATGTCTGTTATTTCAGGCCCCCAGGCAGCCCGAGCTGACTAAGCGTGAGGATGCCATCAGCGAGATGACAGGTGTTAAACGCCGTGAGGTCGGCGCCGGTGACCTGCGAAGCCATGGACGTCCACGGGGCACTGCTGGTGCCCGGCGCTGTGAGTGGCAGCCGGACCCGCACCCACCTGTATCATGTAGAGCTGGGCGATGCGGTATTCCTCCACGGTCATCGGCAGAGGGATCCGGTATTCCTTTATGATCATCTTGGAGTCCGAGCCTTCCCGGCGACGGGAACTGCGTGTTGGGACTTCTAGGTGAGGTTCCTTAAACAACCATGACAAAGCTCACCAAGGACCCCTGAGGGAGAAAGAAGGGACAGGAGAGTCACTTCGTGCAAAGGCTGGTGGGTACGAGGCCACGGAGGAAGGGTCTGGTGGAGACCTGAGGCTGGAGGTCTGGTCCCGGCTCTGCCATGTGACCTTGAACAAGTCCCCTCCCCTCCCCAGACCCCATTTTCCCTGTTCACTAAGCAATCGTGTGTAGAGAGAGTGTGTCAGCGCTGATCAGCCACAGAGAAATAAAGAATCGTCATCCTACTGGGGGGGTAGGGGGACCGGGGAGGGGGATGGGAGGGTGTCACATCTCCGGACAGTGAAGAGCACCGCGCTCCTGTCTCACGCGTGGTCCCAACGAGCCGCAGCTGCAGCCCCCCGTGGACGCCTCTTCCCACATGACGCCGACCTGGGTCTCGGAGGAACCAGAGATGGGGAGGAAAAATGGACGCATTGCATGGCCCGTGGACCACATCCCAACACAGCGCTTTCCAAAAGAACTCACAGCAGCTTCTGCTTCAGGTGACAGAATACTCGTGATCAAGTTGTGCCCCTCGACTTTTCAAAAATAAAAACTTAATGCCCGACAGAGGCACACTCCCAGTGACCCGGGAGCTCAAACCGCCCGTCATGATCTGCCTGTTGTGATCTACCTGCTACAGGGCGGGGGCTTTGCCGTGAATGTATCTGGTCACCCCGGAGGGGGTCACACGCCGTCAGCTAGAAGCCGAGTGAAGGCTGCCAAGATCGCCTGTAGCAGAGTCGGGATAGTGTTCTGTATTTTGGGAGGGCCTCCCTGGGGCAGCAGTTGTCAGTAAGGGCTCCCAGTGACCAGAGGCAGGGCAGCGGCCACAGGATGAGAGCGAAGGCCAACCTGGAGGCTGAGGCGTGACTGGTCATCTATCGGGGTCAGGGAGAGGGAAGACACCCAACTCTGGGGAGAGTGGGTGGGGGAGACGAGAGAAATTCTTTAACGGGCTCCTTAGGAAGAGGGGCAGAGGGGGCGGGTGTCACAGAAATGGGTCGGAGGTGGTCCCCGGGTCAGCAGCCTGCAGAGACCACCAAGATGTTTGCTTCTTCACCACGGGCAGAACCGTCACCTCAAAGCCCCGGCACCAAACCCGCATCCTCACACCTCCAAGTGCTCCAGATACAGTCCACAGTGGCATCTGTTTAGCAAACCAGAGTTCGCCTGCTTTGTATCCCCCACGAAAATGCACCCCCTCATCTGGTGGCCAAAGATAAGACAAACCCAGAGCCATGAAAGACCCCAAACGAGGGACTTCTGTGGCCCAGAGGCTCCCCACGGTGCCTCGTCTCAGCGAGTCCTGGCCCGAATTTAGCTCAGCAGGAAGGTCAGGCCGCTGGCCTGCAGCCAAGCCTCCCGCGGTCAGTTCAGAAATCGGCCCAGACTCCCTGTCGAAGATGGCAGGGCAGCAGCACTTCTGTTCTAGGTCCTCCCTCGAAAACCGCACCAGAAAATGGCTACGACGGAACGAGGACGTCGGAGCAGCCCGGAGCCACAGCCCGTGCAGGACACCAGCCAGGTGCCACCGAGTCTGTGCCGGGCACACGGAACGTGCGGAGCGCCGACGTTTGCCCCAACCCAGGATAAATGCCCCCCCGAAGGGTGTGGCCAGGGTCCGGGGGAGCAGAGGCGTCCTCCTGTCTCTTGTTTTGTTTTTCCACTTCTTCTGGAAGTGTCTCACACAGAGAGAAAAGTGCACACCGCCTAAGGAGCGTGGATTTTCACAAACTGAACACACCTGTACGGCCGGCACCCCGGCCAGGAAACAAAACTCAGCCGTGACCGGTGTGGCTCAGGGGGTCGAGCGCCGTCCTACCAAGTGAAGGGCTGCCTGTCCACTTCCCCTCAGGGCACACGCCCAGGGCGCAGGTTCGGTCCCCAGTCGGCGCAGGTTCAAGAGGCAGCCAATCGATGTCTTTCTCTCACGTCAGTGTTTCCCTCCCTCTCTTCCCCTCTCCCTAAAAATCTATAAGTAAGATCTTTTAAAAAAGGAAAAGGAAACTCAACCACCCCGGCAGTGCCCCCGGCCTGTGCTCCCTTCTCGTCACATCTGCCCGCCACGCGAGGCCACCGTGCTGCCTGTGGCCCCCGGTTCCGGGCTGGATGTTTGCCTGTGAATCGCCCGCATGCAGCCATCTGCGGCCCGAGGACCAGCAGCTCGCGTGGCATCAAGCTGCACACGCCTGCGGATTCCGGCTCCTTCAGATCAATGCTGTGTCCGCAGGGTCTGCCCACACCGATTCCCACCGTTGCAGGTTGTTCACACTCACTGCTGTCCCTCGTGTCCGGGGAGGGGGGCGTGCACTACCCTTTGCAGTGACCGTCCCGTCACTGAGGGGCACTTGGGCGATTTCCACCTGGGGGCTGCTGGGCACAAGTTAGTACCTGCGGAGATGCGACCGCACGTTCTGGAACGGAGGAAGGGTGACACCTGATGGGAAAATCGTTCTGACGTGCCGTCACTTCTGGGACGGGACCTAGTTTTCCAGCTGAGGGGGATGCCGGGAGGGAAGGGAGGCTGACAAGGGAGGGAGAAGGGGCAGTGGGGGGCTGGTCCCAGGACAAGAGAGCAGAAGACCTACGGAGCTTTGCTGTGCAAAGCCGGGACCACATGAACCCCGAAACCCGAGAGGGACAGAGCCCTGGGGCAGGATGAGTGACCACTCTGGGAGGAGAGTTAGCCCCGAATTCGGCTGCAGTCTGCTCCCCCCTTCTTCACACACTGCTCCGTAGAAGGAATAACCATCAGGAAGGAGCCCACACGGGGCCCGTGAATGAGGGGTGGGAGGCAAAGCAGGAGCGTGCACCACAAGCGGATGCATCCGGAGAAGCACGGAGACACTTCGGAAAAGCCGCCCTCCCCGGACACAGAGTGGCCATAGGTGTAGAGTCTCAGAAATGAGTGGGGGCGGAGAGGTGGAAGAAAGGAGACAGAAGCTTGGGGAAAAAAAAAACAGTTTGGCAACAGAAAGAGATGAAAGTGGATGGGAGAGCTAGGGGAGCTCAAGGGGGAAATGGGAAAGAATCATAAATATAGCACGTTTTTAAAACCCACAGTATAAGCCATAAATAAATAGACGAATAAATAGTGTGACGAGCAGGGGTGCAGTGGGCAGGGTGGAGGGCAGCACAAAGATTTGTTCTTAAAGATTTCATTTTATTTATTTATGTTAGAGAGAGGGGAAGGGAGGGAGAAAGAAAGGGAGAGAAACACGAGTTTCTCTCATGCGCCCCCTGCTGGGACCTGGCCTGCAACCCAGGCATGTGCCCTGACTGGGAATCGAACCAGCAACCCTTTGGTTCTCAGGCTGAGTGAGGCTCAGTCCACTGAGCCACACCAGCCAGGGTGATTTACCACAATTTTAAAGAAATTAACAATGCAATATACCCAAACCCATTGAATCACACAGCTTGAATGAGTAAGTTGTACGATGTGTGAATTACATCTCAATAAAGCTGTTTAAAAAGCCGTTCTCTCTTTCTCCCTTAACTTGAACCTGTTAGGAGGAGCTATTATCACTTACGAGGGAGAAATGTTTTTCTGGCGTTGAGCAGTTCTGTTCTGTCTCGTGGTAGATAAAGGCAAACAGAAGGTTTGTCTCTGGTCAAATTCAAGACAAGTTTTTAAAACACAGGCAGAGCATGGCCCGTGTGTTAGAAGACTTGCTCCCACTCTGAGTGAGAATAAATCCACCTGCCCGACCAGCCCGGACTGCTGGCTGGGTGCTGGTGAGGGTAGGCCAGGGTGGTGGCGTCGGGGGCCGCTTTTCCTCTGTGACTCCACTTCTCCGCCAGCAAAGGGGTTCGTGTCCAGCCGGCCCCAGGAGGGCAGTAGCTGGGTGTCCTCGGTGGGCTTTGGGTCAGCCAGACCTCCCGCCACCTCCCCGCCGTGACCACGGGCAAATTCCTGAGTCTATTTGATCTTTCCTTTGACCATTGACAGAAGCGTCCAATTGAGCCCAGAGACACTCAGCGCAGGCCCCAGGGGGCACGGAGCTGGTGACAGACAGCTCGGGGAGGCAGGCGTCCAGAACTGTGCTGGGACCCAGCTGCCAGGCTGGGCAGCCACAGGGGGAGGACAGCCTAGCTCTTGGAGCCGCAGGACGAAGGTTGGCAGGTCCTGGCGCACACGACAGGGTCCCCGGGCAGACACCAGCCCCTAGTGAGAGAGGGCAGCGTGCTCCACTTGCCCGACTCCCCCGCCAGCCTCAGTCCTCCCAGCCCGCCAGCTAAACCCTCGGACAGTCTCGTCACCCATGCTCCGGCTGCCCGGGTGCACCGGGCAGACTCGCATTTCATCTCCATCCCCAAGGGAGTCATGATGGGCGGACAATCTGTTCACCGCTTTGCACAGGGCGTGTGGGGGGCTCGGCCTGGTGGGAGGGAGAAAAGGCCAACACAAGTCCTGAGAGCCCCTTCTGTGAGGAAAGCCAGGCAAGGGGTCGGGTGACCGGCACATACGGCCCCTCTGTAGGGAGGTCACGGGCGGACCCTCCAGTGAGCCTCACGTGTGGCCTCCAGCCCCAGGTCCCCAGAAGAAGCCCTGGGCTTTCAGAACCTCTGTATTCATGACCCTGGCCCCATGTTTGTCCGCGTCTTTGAGGAAACAGCACAGCCAGAGGACGTCCGAGTGGAGGCCACCGGGCATGGCGACCAGGGAGCCCAGGGGGACGGGGGTCACCCCGACAAAGTGTGTGGCCTGGGCAGCATCTGCCTGTGTCTGGGGCCCTGGCCTGGGGGGGGGGTGGGGGTCACCATCCTTGTTCTCAGGTGGCCTGTCCAGCTGGAGCCCACAAAGGGAACAGAGAGGACAGGCCTGCAGCTGACCAAAAATGTGTGGTACCACCCAAGAGGTCAAGGCCAGGGGCCCAAGGTCATCAGGGACCCTCCGGGCATCGTGGGGAAAAGGGCAGATCCAGGCGGGAGAAACAGCTTCGGGCTCAAAGGGGCAGAGTGACCGGGCTAGAGGGGCTGCCGTGAAGACTGGGGGGTCATCG